ATTCAATTCCCTTAGTTTCAAATATTACGATGATTTTAATTATTCATATTAAAGGACATTGTAATTTAAGTTTGTTCATTTTCCCACCGAAGTCGAAAAAATCCAAAACGGTGATAACCACTTCTGACCATTATAGCCATATTTAACATGAAACTGAGCAATTGGTAAATTATTAAATCCGATTCTATATCAGTTAATTCCATTGAAAAATATGTTGATTGAATTATTAAATAAATATAAAGCTAAATTAAAATCTTGATGGGAGTTCAATTAAAAACTAATCAGCATATAAATATTGCAATTTCTATAAAAAATAAAAAAATAGTTTGTAAAAATACTAATATTAAATGGCATTTTCAAGAAAAATTATTACACAGAATAGCTAAAGAAATATGACACTGCTGCATTAGCAAATGGATTCAGAGAAACATTTAAAGCAAGATGAAATGACAAAATAATACAATTACAAACTATATGAACAAAATTTACTATAATAGATTTTTTATCTTTAAGAAGTATCTTGTAAAATTAATGAAAATTGAAAAACCTAATCTTTCTGTTTAATATATATTTTGGTAAATAAGATACATACCATTGATATATAATCCATTATGAGGTAATGAACAATTGTTAATGAATGGTTCAATTAATTTTCTTTGTTGTTAAAACCTTATCAAACTTCGAAATCTCATAGTCATGTAAATTGATTGACTGAAAGTTTAAAGAATAAAATAATGCTTATAAAGAATATAAAATCCAATGGTATAACTTCACAAGGCTGAAAGGTAAATTTAATGAGCAAACTATTAGTAGATAAATGTATATCCTTTCATACAATCACACTCACTGATAAGTTGTTTATTCATTATTTAAAAAGTTAATTAACAATTGGCCATTAATTGTGACACGATTAAGATAATTTGGACTAATGGACATCCTGAATTCAAATAAGCATACTACAAATAAAATACAAAATTTCCGAAATGTTGGCCCCTCTTCAATTCATGATATTTTCAATATGATCACTAACTAAATAATGTGAAAATGGCTTCTTGTTAATATCGGTGAAAAACTGTTTTAATTTCAGATACAATATTGGTATCGAACACATGATTGGTACTTAATTATATGCATTGTACTTTTAATTAAGGAAGATATACATTAGTTAATTGAATAGCTGTCAACATTATAACCAGTAACAAAGTCCTTATTAAATATAAAAAGGAAAAGGATAGATTCTTCATTTTACAGCTATGACATTTTTATATTTAATTTTATTAAAATATTTTTGAATCAGAACTGTGCTAGAGGCAGCTATTCAATTTGATATACTACTTATGATACCTAAAAACTTAGTAGCAAATATATTAATTGATTTTTTCAATCAATAATTTTTAATAATAGGGACAGTATACAGGCTAATATAAAAAATGAAAAAGTGAATTTTTTTTCTAAACTTAAAATCCTAAATGCATCAAGTATTTTATAAACAAATATTTCATCTCAGTTATAAATATAAATAAATCGATTTTTGACACTTCCAAATATTTTCGATGCTGAGAAATTTTTTTTAGAATATTGATTTCAGCTCTCCAGGAGGATCATGGGCTAAATTTCTAAAAAAATAAAATTTAATTATAATTTTTTCAAACTATTAGAATAAAATAGCTGGAAATAAAATAAAATCAACGAAGAAAAGCTGATGAACTGAATAAAATCTAATATCAGTAACAGGAAACTGATTCATCAATCGAGAAATAACAGAGCCAATGGTTTAGTCCGAAGGATCAGCTGAGATTATTCCTTTTCAAGCTAAGCTATAAAAAAATAACATAAATCAGTTGAAGCATTAAAAAAAATAATAGTAAATAAATTATTTAATGTTCCACTGCATGCTATCCGTTCCAATTATGCTAAAAACATATGATAAAGAGTAAATGGATAACTTTAATCTAAGGAATCAGTTAATTTTATAATGCTCTTAAATGAATTAATTAATGAGATAAGTGTTCACTAAGGAATCATTCAATTTTGATAACTGTTCTCTAAGGTACAGCTAATTTTAAATCAGTTCTCTAAGGAACCAGTTAATTAATGTTATTCTTCATTAGCTGAGGTATACATTATCCAATGGGTTTTGGCTAATTAGGTAACCGACCATTATAAACAATTAAATACTTTAGATTAATATTGTCGGAAATATCCAGATTTCTATAAATGAAACTAACAAGGGTCAAGTATGTTACAAGAAATTGATTTTAAATATTTTTTTTTTTTTGGATTCAAGGAATCTTAATGTAGTTGATTTAAATATGCTATGAAACTTTTCTTAATAAAATCAAAATTTGACAATTACTAGAATAATTTGTTTTAATTACAATTAATATATATATATAAAACAACAGGACAAATGATTTTTTGATTATTTGGTATGTTGGTGCTATTTGAAATGGTAATAAAAAATCTTGGATTAAACATAAATTTATCACATGGAATTTTCCAGATGCGAGAAGGCTTTTACTCTCTTTTCATTCAGTTATAAGTTACATAACAGTTCAGGAACGGTAATATAGTGGTACATCTACATATACAAACGTACAGTTCGATTGCACGATATATAGGTTATTATGTAAATGGAGTGAATAAAATTGCTTAGCAACCCAGCATGGCTATGTAGTATTGATTTTTATTCATAACTATTTTGTTGCATCAATATAAAATGTAAGAGAGTACAACACTGTGTTTATGCAACTAAACTGTTATATAACGAAGAATTCCAAATGAAAACCATGAATAAATCATATAATTAAAAAAACGAACAAAAAATTAATGGAGGCTTAACAATTCTATGGAACATAACTTGAATAGGCTATAATTCTGTTATCAATATTACCTGTTCATTTTTATTACCATTTCATTATTCCATAACAAATGAAACCTATTAATGATTATTTTCAGCCTATTAAAAGAAATTAGTAATGAATGAATACAAAATTAAAAATCTTTTACATTATATATATTTTTTTTTTTCCAAGTGCCATCCATCTCTTACACAATAAATAAGCAGTAGAACTAGAACTTCAGAATAAAAGCTAAAAACAGACAATAAATAAGGGAAAGGAAAAATATATATGTATATATAAATGCAATGACTATACTGAACTGATAGATCTAACTAGAACATCTTAAAGACTGGGATAAACCAGTAAATTTGTTTTTAAAACCGGTTTTTCTTTATATCAATTGTAAATACATTCAAATATTTAAATTGAATTTTACCATAACATTTCCTTTAATACATATCAGGTAACAATAAATAACTTGACTATTTTTATAACATACTTATTAAATATTCCTTTAAAATAGAAAATGTTAACAGTAACTATGAACACTATTGTCTGAAATTTATATTCTCCAAAATATTTAGAATTAAATTGACAAAACTTAACTATTGTTACTGTTATCTTAAAAGTTGATTAATGGTCACCTTAATTAACAAACCACGTAACTCATTCCATCAATAAAAAGAGCTCATAATTATTTAATAGGTAAAAAAAGTTAATTATAACAAAAATATATATTAGGAAGCAGTTTTTTCAAAAAATTACTATTATTTTGTTTACAGTACTGTCCCCAACAAATTTAACTATAAAAATAAACATATTATATAAATACTAAGAAATGTAAAGTTTATCAATGAATTAATTAAATTTGTTTAATTCTTTTAGTTCCTGCACCTAATCACAATAACAGGACATTACGATTATTTTCTTGAAACAATTAAAAGAAGATTAATTTTGTGGTTAGTAACCTTTGTCAGTTAATGATCATTGAGCATAATACTCATGTTTTAATAATTTTTATTTTCAAGCAAAAAATATAAAAATATAAATAAAACATTAATTTTTTGCTAAGCAATAATTGACAGGATTGAAATTTTATTTTAAACTGTCTATTGTCTATAATTACAATAGAAACCGCCTGGACTGAAAAAAACAGTTTTTTGTTTATCCGCCTGGACTGAAAAAAACAGTTTTTTGTTTATAAGGACAAAAATATTTTCATGTTTTAAAAACGAATCTATAAAATTCTCTAAAAGCAACTCTAGGATTAATGATGTAACAACAGCTGGAAAGACAAAATCGGAACAAAAATTGATATCATATTCGGAGACCAAACAGATTTTTAAATGTTATCTGTTATCTGACAGGATTATATCACAGATTAATTTAGATGAGTTATATAGATTAATTTTCATGAGGTAGAAGAGAAAGATGAGACGGGATTCTGATTAAATTTTCAAAAAACAACTTAAATCTTATGAACTGAATGATTTATTCAAAGTAACCTGTAACAATTGTATAGAATTAGCAAAGAAAAAAATAGGAATGACCTTCAGAGACAGATGAAATGAACGTTTTATGCTTTTTCAAACTACTTCTTTAACAACTTCTGAAATTTTAAATAAATATCAGCATCAAAGCCACAAACCTTCCGGAACGAAATTTCCAACACAAATTAATATGACAGGACTCAAGATAAGACATCAACATATTTTTTTGAGGTTAAAGTATCCGGTGAGTGTATACAGTAAGTCTGATTCCTTTTAAATTTTTTTTAAATGATACAGAATAAAAAAAAATTAGATAATATAGTAGGGAATATGCTTATAAAGAATACAATGATAAAAAGACTTAAGCACAGTATGTTAAAAAAAAAGGTACACCTTCCTTAACAAAACCTATAAATATTCAATTTTTTTATAAACCAATAATAGAATTATTACAAGAAATCAAACAATTGCCACCCAACCTAACTTTCGCTTTCGTAAATACGGAATTAAATCGGCCAGGGAAGTACTTAACGGAAGCATGATCATTACATCTCGTTACAACATTTTTTAATAAGATAGTTCGAGTTATGAGGTTTGATAATTATGATGAAGATATGCATAAAATTACATTTATTATCTATGAAATATGTAATGTAATATTTTGTACTCGCTCTGGATGTCTGTGCTGAACATCTCGAATGATCTCTTCAATGCAGCTCGAGCTTCTTTTTCTTTAACTCTATCCAAAACAAATATTACTTTTGAACTCAAAAACAATTAAAACCTTGGTAAAGACATAAAAATTTAGATGAATATTTAACCTATCAATAATACAATTATTTGTTGAATTTTGGGAAACAATTTATATTATGAGGGAATATATCTTTTAAATATCCCTCATACCAATAATAATTATAATAAAAATATAATAGATTTTACCTAAAACAAATTTTAAATAGGATATTAATAATGAAGGTTTAGATCAAATCTAAATTGTACCCATTTAAAAATCCCCAAGAATCTAAATAAGTTGTATAATAAAACATAACCTACTCTTTGTTACTTTTATTGACAGTTTCTCTCCGCAGTTTTCATAATTACAATTAGTACGCAAATTGTAATACAAAGTATTTAATTATACTATAACTCCTCTTAACAGAAAATGAACATTTAAATAATCAACAAGTCGATTAGAATTATCAATTTTGGCCAAATAATAAAATGTTATCGGAATGACAATAGCGAACTATAAACAAAAAAAATTCTAACAAAGAAATCGAATGAAGACGATAGTTAAAAATCCTTGGTGGCTGAATAATTTAGGCTTCTTTTTATTCTTAGATAACTAAGTACTCAAATTGGTAAAGAAATATATGAACAAATGTCATTGAAATTCGCTAATTAATTTTTGCTAACCTCAATCAAAATTTTAACGTATAATTTATAAATTTTTTGTGAAGAGTGGAATAAAGAGAAAAATAAAACCTGTAATTTGAGAGAATATACAAATACTATATACCTTATGGCCAATTCAAATCGAACATGACGAAGGGGTATTAATTTTTCCAAAAAGCAACAAGAATAAGAGGAATAAAAGGAAACTGAACAATTTTCTATTACCAATACTTTCAATTCCAATGGATCCTTTAAGATCAATTGTGGTTTGCTTTATAATGACCAGTTTAAATTGTTAAAGAAACAACACTCTCAAAATGCTTGTATTAAACTTTTTTTTTTAAGTTGATAAAAACAACTACACCTTAGTAGTTATAACTAATGTCCATAAAACATATATTTCTTCATGTAATGAAATTATAATCACATAAATCATTATTTGGTTGATGGTAACAAAAACATTTCTGTCTTAGCAAAAATCTGATGATTCAGATAGATGTTTTAATTTTTGTAAATTAAAACGGTTGAGACAAATAGAATATAAAATAACTTACCCCATTTCATACTGCCTGCAACATGCTTCTCTGAAGTCGGTAACAGGACTAAGCTCTGCATAAACAGGGCGACCACCAAACCACCTGTTATTAAGATCATTAACTGCTCTCTCAGCATCTTCTTCACGTCGAAACTAGACATCATTAACAGAGAATTAATTCATTTAATAAAACAATATTAAGACTACACATATAATTATGATCAAGATTAGAGTTATAAGGGGCAAGATTAAAAAAAAAAGAATAAAAACTGATGGATGCATAAGATGTAGGGTGAACGCGCCAGTTAAGGACAGGGGGCCCTGTGATGGACAGGTTGGACTTTAAATGTAAATAATAAGCTTCCTTGTTGATTTAAAGGTTCTAGTTTTTCTATATTGAAGAACAAATCCCTCTATTGACAACTGTATGAACAAAGTTCTCCAACGAAATTTCAAAAAGCCTATCATTGTTGTTTCAATAGTGCACTTGAAATCAGTATGTTTCATACAAACCTGCTAACAGTTTTGCTAAGAGTAGGTTGAGTATTTGTGGTATCATATCTTTATAGTTAAATAAAGATTTTAGAATTTTTTTTAGGCATGTCTATTACTGATACCGACCCCCTTTCAATAACTAGAACAATTGAATTTCGGGGTGTCCATCACTAGTGCAAAAAGGTGTTTTTGTTTTTTTAAAAAAAAGAGATTATACCTGCTTAACTGAATATTTATCCAATTTAAAAGTGTTAAACAGAAAAAGGAGATTCTAGAGATCATAAATGTCCAATGGAGAAGTTTATAATCATAATAATTATGGCGACATAAGCCAAAAATTTCCTTAGGTATATCCATCACTGGTGCGCTTACCCTAATGATTATTGATTATTGACTGAATATGATAAAAAAATAAATAAGTTACTTTTGTTTAAATGACAGTCAACACTTTGGTCAAGATATGTAAGATTTTTAAATCAATGTTTAAAAATCATTGAATTCCCTTCTGCTAAATGCTGTCTATTAAGAGAATAGTTAATTAATATCTAAACTTTATTTAAAATTTCAATGCTGCGATTATAAGAACATTATATTATATATAATTGATGCTTAACATATAAAATTTAAAAAAATGAAGATGTAAAAAATGTGCTCCAAATAGTGTTTTTAAATTTGAAGAGAAAATTAAAATAATAAAAAATACCTTTATATATACATTTCCAACAAGGTGATCACCAAGGTTATCACATACATTCATTTCTTCTATTTCACCATACTATAAATATATAAAAAAATGTTATTTTATTATTAAAAATGAAGAAAATAAATTATTTCAAATTGATGTAACAACTTACTTTGTCTTCACATTCCACAAAGACGTCTTCAAAGAAATTATCATAATGCTCTTGCATTTCTTCATCGGAAACATTGCTTACCACTTTAAATAATATTAAGAATCGATTAATTAATAAATCATACTAAAAATTGGAACATGTAACAAATTATAAAATTAAAGTACATAAGTATATCTTACAATGGGATCCATCAGCAGATTTGGCTGAGTTCTGGGGATTTACATACAGATTTTGCAGAAGCACCGTCTACAGAAAAAAAAAATAAAATAAAATAAAAGATGACAAAACTACTTGACCAATATAAGGATTTAATTGAGTACATGACACTAATATAAAAAGAGGTTTAAACTGACCTGGCTAAATGTAGGTTTGTTATGAATCCTGGAACAACGGTCACCATGTCTACAAGCTCCTATTTTGAAGTAAAAGGAGCAATTTACCCTAAAAATGTAAAACCATCATTAGAAAAATAATTAATTTTTGACAATGTATAAAATAATTGTAAACATATTATTTTAGGTAATATGTATGATTAAATTCTAAAGTATTAAGCATTTAAGAATGAGAATATACCAATAGATAAAACCAGCATATATATACTATAAGTTAAAATCAGCATTAACATAACTTCATTACACTTCTCTTAACATGACTGACAACTGAGATTTTAAACAATAATCACAGGGAACTAAAAATATTAACTTTGATTATTACAACTTCAGAAGTGCCACTCCACCATGATGGATGAGAGTAAGATCTTATGATCATTCTGTAGACAGAATTCTAAAAATTATGATAAAGGTCGGAAGGATAGGGAGACACTCAGGGCCTTAATAGAGGGATAGTCATATAAGGCCCCGACCTCGATAGAAAAGGATCCTATGGGAGTTTGGATCTCCTTTTGGAACAAGGACAGAGAGTAAAAATCAAAATAATTAAAGTCACAAGTCAAAATAATTAAGGCCCTGATTTTAACTATAAAGGACCAGTTACAATCATTATCATATCAATACCATTCTTGGAATTCCAGCTATAGTGTGATCATGTGACCCTTTATTCATCATGTATGAATGTAGTGCACAAAACAAAAAGAGTTAATTTATGTGGCAGTGAATGAGCCAAAGAGAGAGAGAGAGAGAGAGAGAGAGAGAGAGAGAGAGAGAGAGAGAGAGAGAGAGAGAGAGAGAGAGAGAGAGAGAGAGAGAGAGAGAGAGAGAGAGAGAGAGAGAGAGAGAGAGAGAGAGAGAGAGAGAGAGAGAGAGAGAGGAGAGAGAGAGAGAGAGAGAGAGAGAGAGAGAGAGAGAGAGAGGAGAGAGAGAGAGAGAGAGAGAGAGAGAGAGAGAGAGAGAGAGAGAGAGAGAGAGAAGAGAGAGAGAGAGAGAGAGAGAGAGAGAGAGAGAGATGAGAGAGAGAGAGAGAGAGAGAGAGAAGAGAGAGAGAGAGAGAGAGAGAGAGAGAGAGAGAGAGAGAGAGAGAGAGAGAGAGAGAGAGAGGAGAGAGAGAGAGAGAGAGAGAGAGAGAGAGAGAGAGAGAGAGAGAGAGAGAGAGAGAGAGAGAGAGAGAGAGAGAGAGAGAGAGAGAGAGAGAGAGAGAGAGAGAAGAGAGAGAGAGAGAGAGAGAGAGAGAGAGAGAGAGAGAGAGAGAGAGAGAGAGAGAGAGAGAGAGAGAGAGAGAGAGAGAGAGAGAGAGAGAGAGAGAGAGAGAGAGAGAGAATCAGATGTTTTTAGGAGATTGAAGGGGACAGTGACTGGAAAAGGTGAAGAGACCTACGCGAGTTAGAGGAAACATTAGCTCTCTCTTCTCTCTCTCTGTAACTGCTGGAAAAAGCGGACTTATAAGGATGAAGTCTTTGGTATTTTTGTACGTTATTCAGATTTATATTAGTTAGTAAATTTTATATCAGCTTCAGGTTAGTCCATAAGTTCTTGTTGTTTAGTTATAAATAGTTAAGTTTAAGTTACTCCTTAGATTAAGTTTTATTAATTATCTATAGTCTATTGTTTAGTTGGAAATTTTATTGGGCATTTTATAGTCTGTCTAAATTGTATACATCAATAATAAATGTTTTGATTATTTATTAATAAAACATATGGTAGGTTGATAAAGTGGATTTGTGAGGTTTTTACATGGTTGTCTATTTAAGCTCGTGTAGATGAACATTAAGACGACCATTATTACACTGAGTAAATTTGTGAAATTGAGAGAAATAAATAAATAAATGGTTTTCCTTTTGTTTCAGAGATTTGTGATTAGAACAATCATTGTGATTAAAAACACTTGAGCTGTAGTGTAGTTGTAAGCTAAACACAGCTTCCTATTAATTTTTATCCTTGTCAGAGGAACGAGAAGCATTAAGTATAGAACTTGAGCAATTGAAGTTGGTGACCTATATTGATTTGGAAGGCCTAAATCAATAACTTGGATTATTATTTCCTAATTGAACATGACAGTAAGAAATCGTTTGAATAGATTGTTAAAATACGCATTAATATGATTTGAAGTTGGAAATTAATCCTATAAACTCTCATTGGAAGAAATAAATAAGCACAAGGAATGTTAAGGAGAGGGATTAATATGTAAGATGTAAGAACCATGCAACAATGGTGATAAAAAATGTCTAGAAGATCTCCAGGGGAGACATCGAGAATTGGTTGAAGATAAGGGGATGGGGTGGCGAAGCGGACTAATGTGTGCACACAGCAGGTTGCCTATCAGTCAATCTGAAACTGAAGTTAGAGCTGGAAAAATAATTACGAATTCAAATCCCGGTGAGACTTTCAACTCGGCATATTGCCCTCGCCCTTTCCCCAGGCCCCAGGAAAAACACCATGTAGCCTTTTAGGCAAGGAAGGGAAGAAAAAAAAATTGATTGAAGATAATTACCAAGACAACAGAAGGAAATTCTGGAGTTCAGATAAGGCACTTAATGGTAGAAATGTGAAACCTATTAGGAATATAAAGGATCCTAAGGGAGATGTTGGTACTTAAGATGATAAGATACTGAAAGTATTGAGAAACTTCTAGGAAAAACAGATGTTCTCAAGACTTAGGATCAACAGTAGTACTCCTAGGATTAAGAATTTGATCTGAAGAACCAGTACAGAATGACCCAGCTTCTTTCATAGAATCGACCATTTTTTTTTTCAAGTTGAGCATTTCTTTTCGTTTAAAGTGATGATGTTGTAGTGTGATTGGGCAAGTTCCTATACTCAGCATTAAGCTCGTCGATAACATTGAAAATCTAGGTTACAAAACAGAAATAAATATGCAAAGTAAATCGAGGAAATAATAACACAAAGGTAGAATTAAGTTATAATGATGTCAAAACAAGTAGATCCATCAACCCCCAAAGGAAACAGAACTGCTGAGCCATCGGTGATTCAATCAATGAGTTAAGGAATGATTAGATGAGTTACACATTCATTGATAAGGGCAACCCTGGGTTTAGGAACGTGTCCTAACCTTAATTCATTTATGAGAAGGAGTTAGTCGAGGGTGCGGTCAAATAAATAAAAAATTTAAATATATTAATTATTTTAATTTTTGCCTAAAGTAATAAGTATTAAAATATATTTTAATTTTTTATTTATTTGACCGCACCCTCGACTAACTCCTTCTCATATTATTCAACGGTCAACCATCTCTACATCATCTTAATTCATTTAGTTTTTTGATTATGAAATGTAATTAACCAAACTTGTCAATTACCAGAACAGCTTGGTTAGCCTAGACATCCCATGAACAGTATAATCCTGCAATATTGGCATACCTGTCAACCTAGTATGACATTGATATATATTTACCCAGAAACCAAGGTTTAACTTAAAACAATATAATCCAACAAATAAGGAAAATCGCACATTATATTGGTTTTTGAAAAGACAAAAATTAAAACTGTGATTCATGTGTGCAACTTGAAAAGTTATATGGAGTAGATACAATATAAATCAGACAATAATATCATAGTGAACCAACAATATACACATCAGAAATAACAATTAAACGTAACAATGGTACATAAAATAAGCTCCTAAACTTACCGCTAAGCTTAGTGCCACAGGTGGGCATAATCATAATCAATGATTTCCATAACAATAATCATAATTACAATTACATTATCTCGATTAGATGATTACAGTGATCAGATTTCTGATTATGTTTGTAATAAGGTAATCTTGGCAGATTTTAGCTATATATATACTAGCTGACCCGTGCGAATACTTTGCACAAATCTTATATTTGTATGTTCCATTCAGTAATGTTTCTATGCAAAGGTTTAATACTTTTATTTAGTAAGTTATCAGTTTATAAATATAATAATCTATACCCATCCATAGGTTAACCCTTTCTAGTTTCATTAAATGTATAATTATAACATTATATCTTTTGTTAAGATTACAAAAGCTTCTAAACATTGCCTTTAAATATCTGATGAAGGCTAAATACTTTGAATTTAGTTCTCTGGAAGGTACGTTTTGACCTAGCTGTCTGTATTCACAGAAAGTAATAATAAAAATAAAGGAATGTTTCTTTTGTCATTACAAATAATCAAATAAATTTTTAAAATGATAAACATGTAATAGCTTATATATAGATAATATTTTATTTTAAATGAAGTGTATAACATTCCATATTTATAGCAACATAACAAATTTAATAATTAATTTTACCAAACCAAATGTTTTGAAATTAGCTAGAATAATTACTTATTGAAACAATGTATACTGTCTCAGGAAGAAGAGCCATTGCCCAAATTATAAAATTTCGAATGAAGAGCAGAAGAGAAAATAGGGTAGATTAAGAAATACTTTTATTTTTATATCATTTTCTGTTAAAATAAGAAATTCTACTAATGAATTTATAATATCAAGGAAAAAGCTTTATTTTACCCTTATATATTTATTCCATACTTTAATTCATTTAAATGATCGAAGCATGGAGTATGTATATAAGGGTAAAAATAGCTTTTTCCTCAATATTATGAATTTTATTATAAGTATATACCCTTGAAAAATTTAAAGTTTTTGAGTAATCCAAAACTGAAATGAAGAAAAAAATCTTTAAAGTAGAATTAATAGTAATGTTTAGACCGCTATATCTTTGCACCACGTAGTCTGATTTCGATGATTTTTTTTTTTCATTTTTAAGGAATTTAGTAAGCTTTCAAATACTCATATGTATAATGGGTCAAAAATTGCGTCCTTTTTGAGTTATTCCCAAATTATGAATTAGTTTGTAACATCTCGATTCGTTGAGATGGCACCATCATATGGTTTGAAACCTCCCACTTTTACATTCATTTTTATTTAAGTCCAGGTATAATATCAATTAAATACGAATTAAAATTACGATTCGTGCACTCTAGGTGATATTTCCTGTCTATTGATACCTCATTCGTCAAAATCCATCACTCCTAAGAGCCGGAAAAGGGATATATATTTGAGAAATAATATATAAGATATATATATAGATAACATATAAATGTTATTAAGTTAAGTATAAAATTGGTGTGGTTATTAAGTTATATTTTGTAATCATTGATTCGGATTTTGTCCATCTGCGCTTAGCGCTGAGTTCAAAAACCTCTCCAGGATCATACTTCAAAACAAACATATTTTAATCAGTATTATTTAATTTGGTTTCTGTAATTAACATTTACATTTAGAGGATGACTATAGATTATGCTAACTGAATATAAAACAAAATTTAGTAACTTAGTTTAATCTGGCCAATATTAAATAATTATCTACAATTTTAATAAGTTACAATTACTATCTTAGGAAATTAAAATGGTGAATTACTAATAATGAAATCAAACAAAAAGATCAATAAAAAATTAAGCTCTATTATAATTCGAATCTGAAATAAAGGATACACTACGATTCAAATAAAAAAAAAAATTAAAAACAAAGCTAAATACGGAAACATTGTTAGAACAGATGAAAATCAACTTACTTGTCTTTTTCTGTCCCGAAAATGGATGCCAAATACTCCGCCATTTGGGATCCAGATTAAAAACTATCAGAGCCACAGAAAATACACTATCACCAATTAAAATTATTTAAAACTCCGATATGGCTAGAACGACATTGAGAAAGCCCAAGCTAAAGCAATTTCAAGATGGCGATGCTAACAGCAGCTTCATAGATCGTTGTTCGAACAGTCAATAAAATCATTATTAATCAAACACTGAAAATAATCAATTTGTGTATTTTTTTCAACTGATAGAATTTGCACATAGACATCTATTAAAATTGAATGAACATAGTAATTAAATAAGAAAAATTAGAACTCAGCTACTACTACGGTATGATTGAACGTTTCACTAGTGATTGTGATGAAAATTTTTTCAACTGGATTATAATTAATAAATAATAAAACTTAATTTCTCATGCTGTCGTTGAAAAGTTAATTATTCTATTACCCCAGTGCCTTTATCCTAATTCACAGAAAATTTTGGATACACTTTCCTGGGTTGTCTTTTTCACTTTCATATATTTTATGTTTATGATTAAAATATTTTTTTTATAGTAATGAGGTTTTGGACTGTATGGTTTTTGGTAATATTTTCTAAAGAATGTATGAGTTCTCAGAGGGAATGTTCATTGCAAGCATATATCACCAGAAAAATTGATAGTTTAGGTTTTCATCGGTATGTTTATACTAATACAAATTTGAATCTTATGTAGGATAGGAAAGGCTAAAAGTTTTAAGACATTCTTGTGTTTTAGAAATATTTACTATAATGTTTCGTTGAAAACAAGCTGTAAGATTGATCAATGTAAGTTGTGTATTCAAGAAATATTGCCAAGTGGTATGTTTGTTAACACTGATCAGTTACGAGACTTATCTAGAACAAAAAAGGTTCTAATATTTATTTTATTGAAAATGTCTTGTATATAATTCATCTGAAATTTAGGTTTATTTTAATTATTGCAATTGATTTTAGTTGCTAGCATCTGTCGATGGCCATGTAGACATTGAATCTCCTTCTAGTATATCTTCACGACTTCTAGTTCGAATTCTTGGTAATTTGAATGAGGTAACTGAACAGCAATTTATGGGATCATCAATATTACCTGTACATACCAGATATCAAAATCCTCAGCCAGGTGGTGGTTTTAAGTAAGTTTTTTTCTTTGGTAGATGTATGACAATATTAACTGACATTGATTTTTCTTTTGAATTTCTGGAGTATTTTCAGTATCCTAGTCAATTTTGATAATTTATGTCAAAAGGTATTTATAATATGATTCCTCCCGGATGCCAATTAGTTTTTTATTAAGACACTCTTTGTTCATATTATTCTTACTTGTAATAGCCTTAAATCATTTATTAAAATCAATTAACTTTGCAGTTGTGATCACCATTAAATAAATTTATTTGATTATCATATCATAGTTGATGGAACTTAATAACAACATACATTAAAAAAAAAAAAAAATTAAAGATACAAGTATTTTATTACTTGGTTTCGATATATTCTTAAAATAAAACATCAACTCTGTAGTCAAGATATAGTACTAGATGACAAATGTCATTCCAATCTGGTGAATTTGCCAAGATCACATCGATTAGACCATTGATGAAATTCTAAAACCAGCTAAATATTTCTGCATAATATCAGAATTCAAACATAAAGTTATAATTAATCTAGTTTTTGAATGGTTGAAGAGTAGACAGTAAAGTAATATATACATTTGAAGAAAATTTAATATTATACAACTTTCTTCCTCATAACTTTTTTATAAAATGATAAGTTAATAATTAAAGAGTTAGGTAGTCAAATAATTATAAAAATGCGAGGCAAAACATATTTTTTTTTTTTTTTTTTTTTTTTTTTATGAAAAGGAATTATGAATACTGATATCTTGAAAACTACACAAAATATTTTTTAATTCAGCCTTTGCTGTCACAAAGACAGACCTTTGCTTTTTGGTATAGCAGTCCTGATGAAGGCCTGAACTTCGGGCCGAAACGTCGGCGAATGTAAAAATGAATACTTATTTTTACCATATTATAATTTACTTATTTTTACCATTTTATTTTAACCGATCACCCCAACCATCATTCTCTTCAATTATTCACTACAGTCAACCATAAACCCACAAAAATATTTAAAAAAAAAATGAATATAACCAATTCTGTGTAAAATTTTGTCAGCTTTAATTTTACATACATTATTATCGCTATAACGCATAGTTCCGCTGATATAAGCGGAAAACCGAAAATCTTGAACTTTTTGAATCCCAAGTTCAAATTTTCGACTTGATATCCCCGGTTTTGGGGTAACTGACTATTGTTTCATTTCTTAGGTAAAAGGTAGCTTTATATATCTGTTGGTTATCAGTTTACCTTATATAACTTTTCTATGATGTTGACCTGGGCTCCATTTTGTATTCCAGAGACTATATTCTGGAAGTTGTCTATTTTTCTTATCAGGTCTGTGGATATGGTCAATATATAAGGCCAAACCTTAGTATGAAATGAGTCATCTTTTTTGCCACAGGCTCTCAGACAAGTAATCCTGTATGGTAAGGGGTCTCTTCTACATGGAGATAATCTCTTATATGTTAATGACCGATGTGAGTTTATATATCTCATGAGTCAACTTAAAGAATATTAGCAACTATAATCAAAGTAAAACATGGTTGTTGGAAAATAAAAATCTGACATGTCCCATAACAAAATTCCTGACTGTTTTGGATATACAGTCTCTATAAAAATTATTCGCCATATCCTTAAAATTGTTGATCCAATTAAATTTTACTGTTTCTTTTTTACTTTTAAGTTTGGCTTTTCAGATGGTTTAATGAAATTTTCTAAAACATTTGGAATATTCAGGGAAATGTTTATAAAACTTTCACTTACCTATATATGTAATATATAGTAAAAGAAAGTATTGCAACAGTGAAAATTTTCGAATCTCAGGTTTCAACGGAAATATATGTTTTGAGGTCCCCTGAGTCCTAATAACCAATTCCCGCAAAACAGTCTGTGTGTGTGTGTGTTAGCAGTCTAGTTCAAAAATGAAAAGTTGAACGGAAGTGAAATTTCATATTTAAGGTTTTTTATATGCCTGAAATGTTACAGCAACTTTTTTGTAAAAATTGGCTAGCTGGAAGTGCCACTTTATATCAACAGTGAAACACATTTTTACAATTTTCTCAAAAATGGCTGTAAGGATTTTAATTAAACTCAGTGTATCATTGTATAATTAAGTGGTGTTTAATATCATTTAGGTCTTATCTCCATCGATGTCACTTTACAGGACATAAATGCCCAATGTTCATGTACGTCTTCCTCTAAAGTACCTTTAATATGGATTTAAAAAAAAATAACTCTCTTTTATTGACTATAACTATAAAAAATGGCTAAATATAAAGTTTGAAAGAATATAATAATTGGAAACTGGAGAAACAAAGAAAAATGCTTATCCAGGTTGAAAAGAATCTCCGGAAATAACAGGCTGATCTACGGGGGAGAAGAGGGAACTTTCGGGCTAAAGTCCCCCAAAATGGCAAAATATAACCATGTTTAATTAAAAAAAATATCTATAAAAGTATCATTGTTCATTTAATATTACTTAAAGAATCACTTAAACCCCATTTCATTTAGGTAGTTAGTTTCTTTCTTTCTTCTGAACTAATTATCCTAATATATACATACCAAAAAAATCTTTCAGGCTGAAGCCCTCCAAAATTAAATCCTGGATCCGTTAGTGGTCAGAAGGTATATGTATAATATATAGTTGGAAAGCGGAGCATTTTAGAAAAAATAATATCAAATAAATAAAGTTGTAAACGGTTACGGAGAGTGACAAAAAAAATATAAATAATAATTTCAGAAAACACATTATTTAACATAAATCACTGTTTCCAAGGAAATTAAATTAAATTTTCTTACTAAATGTATAGTTTTAAATTCTTTTCTAAGTTTAAAAAAAAACATTTAAAATCTACCGAATCAAGCCATTGCCATTGTTTAAAATACTATTTCATTGAACTTGTGTGAAAGAAGAAGTGAAACATAAAAATATTTCCTGGATATGTTTATAACCTTAAATACATTTACTGTAGTTTGATAACTGTAGATATTATATTGATATAATTGGGTATCTATCGGCCATTTATTCTAACAAATCATCAAGTACACCTTTTAGGAAATTAAATTAGTAAATAATTTGATGAATTTTCCCTTTGTGAAATCCCAATATTAACCACTTACAATTAGTGTAACAACTTTTGACCTATCCATGGCAAGCAATGAAAATCTCGTAATTTCATTTTAGTAAACTTTACACTGGAAAATAACAGTTTAATAACTAATAGTCCTATTATCCATAATCATTTATGGGTGATAAATATTAAGGACACAACCATTATAAACATTTTTTATTTGTGCCGACGTTTCAATCCAAATATGTGGGTCATCATCAGGGCATAGTTCGAGCACTAATGATGACTCACATGTTAGGGTTGAAACGTCGGCACAAATAAAAAAAAATGTTTATAATGACTGCGTTCTGAATATTTATCACCCATATGCAGAACATTTGACTAGCTTCCTACAATAGTTCATAATCATTTATAGGTTAAATATTCAGAATTACTTTAAAATCTCTCTAGGCATATATGTACCCTTCAGTTGACAGAATGACTAACTCCAATTTCAACATTCTTTTCACTGCTATTCATATTTTATTTATTTTATTTATTATTTTTATTTTATTTTTTTTTATATTTTTTTTTTACCATCTCTACTTATGTTTCTCATACCTTGTTATCTGGTTATTTTCTTAGCCCTGATGAAGGCCTGAACTTCAGGTCGAAACGTCGGCATATGTAAAAATAAATATTATCATTTATTTTTGCCTTCCTTTTTGACTGACCACCCCAACTATTCTTTTCTTCATGATCCACGACAGTCAACCAATTACCAATTATGAATATATATTATATTAGATTATTATGTTATATTTTATTAGAAGAAGAAGAAAGTAAATTTTATTTTGGGACATTTAGTCTCCTAAGAATTATATATATTACTATTATAATGGCGCTACTGTACTGCAAGAACTCGGGCCTCCTCCACTACAGCCAAGCACAATCTCCACAGTTATTATATTAATATACTACATTATATATTGAAATTGTTAAAAAAAAAAAATTAACTCTGTAAAACTCATTTTGTTATTATTAATGGCACCGATCTATAGATGTGGCCATCTGATCAGACCACGTTGTTATTATTGGTTAAATTAATTCAAACAAAGAAAAATGATTGGGTTTTTGCAGAAAGATTTCAAGTGCAATGCACTATATCTCTTCTAATACTGTTCCGATTTAGACAATTTCTATGGTAAGTGAGATTTGGTGAGGAATCAATCTTCAGGTGTGTCCTTCAATGAAGGCTATCCACTTAATAGAGAATGGGTTTAACCCAAGAGGATCTTCTAACCCCTGTGTCAATCCAGGCTTGATTGACTGCTGATGGCACAGATTAAATAATTATATTAATAAAAATCATCTAAATAAGTCTTATTTGAAACTTATGAAATTATTTTATTATTATAATAACTTGAAAACTTATAAAAAATTAATGGGTTCATTATTTGAAAAATAATATAAAGTGAATATAAAGGGTTTCCATGAAAACCAGTGCAGTATCACTGTGTCTTTATATATGGTCCTTTTAATTCTAACACCACCTAAGTCAATTTTTGTCTAAAAGAGGTAGAATAGAATAGAAAATAATTTTATTCTGGGACAAAGTCCCTTTAGAATAACAAAAAAGTACAAAATTAAATTATTACATCTGGCCTAAATAAAAACAAACCCTCAAAGTAAAAAGAAAGAGAAATGAATAAAGAAAACATTAGTTAAACATACTATATACAAAAAAAAAAAAAATATAAATAAACACTGTATACAAAACACTTGAAATTATGCCAAGACATTTAAAACTATGTATAATGGTAAAACAAAAATATACACTTAGAAAAAATAAAATAAAATAAAAAATTCATAATATTTTTCTTAGAAATAAACTCTGTGTTTCTGTAGAAAATAAATAAAGCCGAATCTTTACTTCTCAAAGTTGTTTTTCTTTTTTATAAAATTTCTGTCTTATCTATTTCACAAAAGAATAAAATAGGCTGTCAATGGCACTAAATATTTAGTCATTGATTGCTATGATGAAAATAAAAAATATGTATATATTTTTAAATTTCATTAATTTATCTAATATTCTAGGACAGTTAATATCAATAAGCCAGAGTTATATATTCACTGCCCAGAGGAATATTCTCAAGTTAAAGAAGAAGTATTTTTGACACCATGTGCTGGGGATAATAATATGCCCCTACCCTTCTCAAAGGTTGCATATTCAATAGTAAGTATATTTTGATATTTCCTTATAGAAATAATTTTATTAATAAGAAAAAATTAGATGTGTAGGCAGAAAACTGTTGATTATTTAATTGATAGACTTCGTCTAGTGTAATTGTTAATAGTTTAAAAAATAATGATCTATAAGGCAGTCAAAATAAATAAAACATACAATAGGTATTTATCATTTAATATATACTGATATCTTGACACACTTTGGAGATCTTTATCTGAGCTATAAACGATGTATTTTCATTCGGTGTGGACTTTACTGTTGGCAAATATGATATAAACTATACAAGATGGGCCTGGCCACATAAAAACTTCATTGCAGATAGCGATACTCAAAAAAGAAAAAGAAAAGAAAATTAAAGCCCCCCAGTAGGCAATAGTTTTGAAGTACTTGCAAATTCTAATGAATGATGTCAAACATCCTCTGATATACCATCTAACATCAGACATTCTCCACTCTTCAAAATAAACGTAGAAAACTATGCACCCTTTTTTTTACTGAAAAAAAAGCTCAAAGGTAGTAATTGTCTACTCTTAGACCCCAAATGACGATTTGATTAAATGTTAACCATTTAATGAAAACATCAACCATGAAATTAAATGGGATCTCAAGAACTAATAACCATATTGTATAATACCATACTTTATCCGTTATAAATATCTCCTGCTTTCAACAGCTGTTATTCTTGTTTTTTTGTGGATTAATCATTTTAGGGGGCTTTATTTTCTTTGATGATAGATGCAGATTATTCCTAATTCTGTTGACACAAATGACTAATTTGATCCTTTCAAAAATTTATCAATGTGTTCAATTATTCACAAGAAAACTGATTATTGTTTCTTTTCAAATTTAGATAAAAGGTAGTGGGAGAATAAAAGGGTGAGGAGATTTTGAAATTCTATTGAAACCCAAACAAGAAATACCTTGAAGCATATGGTTTTTATTAACCATATTTAGTTACTTCACCCATTTCTTGAATGTGGCTGATGAATTTCTGGGGCTTCGCAGAATGTTTCTTGTAAACAAAACTACCTAGTCCTGTCATGCATATTGTTACAAGGAAATATATACAGATTTCAACAGAAAAAATAATTTCAAAAACTTTATTAGAAAATAAAATGTATATTTCTAAAAAGTAAAAGAAATTACTCAAAATATTCCCCATTTGCCTTAACATTTAATCTCCGTGGTCAGTCAGCACGCAGCACTTCTTGAGGAAAGCGCTCAACTGCTCGGACCCTGCCCTTGTGAGCTGGGGTGCAATCCTGCTGGAAAACCCAATGACTTCCAGCAAACAGAGTATCATTTAGAGACTTGACAACAGGTTCCAAAATATCGTCCTGATAGTTTTTAGTGGCTGTTTTAACTTTTTTTTTTCACTAAAATAGAGCTTTGTGGTGCCATCAAAGAAAACTCTCCACTAAACCATCACTGAGGAAGCGTGATGACCTCTTTTCACTCTTCCAATGACTTCCTGGGCTTCTTTAGAGCTGTATGCATACACACAATCATTTTGGCGATTAAATTTTTCTTCAATTGTAAAAATTTTCTTATCATTAAACAACATTTTTCAATGAAGACCATTGATGTAATGGCCAAAGAATTTCGCATCTATCCCCTCTAATTATTTTTAGAGAAGTGGTTAACCTTTGTCCTGTCATTCTTCAAAATGCACTCATCTTAATGTCACTTTTTATCATGCGAGACATTGATCTGACAGAGGTTCCCATTTCCAGAGACATTATTTGTTGTTTTCGAATGGGATTTTTTCTGATTCAAGCAGCCACTGCTCTTGCTGCATTTGACGGACCGGTCGAGGTCTGTCACACACAAATAGGGTCTTATTATATCTATTTATAGTGCGATACACAAACATACGGCCGATGACCAAAGGTTTCAGAGTGTTGAAAATCTCTCACCTACATTTTCCAACTTTGTATAAAGCGATCACAGCTATTCAGTTTTCTTTATCACCTCACTCTATGTTAACTGAGCAGAAGAAAAATATAAACTAATTGAGATTATTATCCTGACATGCTAAGAAAATAACCTGATAGAGGTAAGGATTATCTAAATAATACTCAACGATGTAAACAAAGTTTACAAACTTTTGTAACAGTATTTATGGCAGAACTAAGTACTATAGATCCAATCAAATAGCTTATTACTATCATAACATTTTGTTATAAGAAAGTTCATGCCAGTTTATGGATAGCAAGAACATTGTTTTATATTCATATACCTCACTGTCCTCCAGGTTTCAAGCACATAGGATTGAAAAAAATAAGTTTATATATCATTTGTTCTTTATTATCATATGATAAGGATTACACAATTACCAAGCCGATTGAAAGTAGGATAACAAGTTCATGAAAAAGAAAGAACTTGAATTAACAGGCTGCAGTAAGAATATAGTGGATTATAATGAATAATATTCCTTTCTGAGAAATATGAGTACATATTGGGATTTGTCACTGGATAATAATATTAGCAATAAAATATTTCTTTTTGAATGGTTAGTATTGATCCACTAAATATTTGGTAGGTTCTATTTCATATTAAATAGAATAATATCTGTCCATACTGAATATGTGATTTAGACTTCACAATACTAAGTTAACTGCTTAAATTGGTGAGTTTGTGCATTTATTTGTAATTTTCCTCAGACATTTTTATTATGTGGAATAATGTCTAATATCTCTTCACCTTGATCAATGATGTATAAACAATCACTCATTCATTATCATGGGTCATTGAAGTTTCTCAAATACCTAAATGCCAGATTGAGCGATATTTTTACTTATAATATGTAATTTTTAATAAAATAATTAAATTTTAAATTATTTTTCTATTGTAGTCCACAGATGATGCTGTACTAAAAATAGATGTTCCTGTTGGTAACAGTGATAGCCTTTTAATTGTTCAAATGGTAACAGTTTTCGTCACTATTATTGGATCTGTCTACATAACTGGCGTTATATTAAAAGTTTAATTTTTTTTTGTTTACAATTAAGAACTTATCTCAGGACCCATTTCTTGATTTAACTAGTCATAAATAATACCAAAGCTGATATAATTATCAGCTATAGTTATTGTTTTTCATCATTATTACTTTATTTAATGTTCCGCCCACTCTATTATTATTTTTCATTTAATTACAAAATTTGTGTGTAAAAATAATTATATTTATTTGTTATGTTATCGAAATAAATATGTATATAACTAAAAAAAAAAAAGGATAGATGGAATTATTTTTTTTTATGTTTCATCCATTTACCATTTATTGGCTATTATTTTGATGAATCCTTTGGTATTTTAAAATTATATATATATAAATAGAAATAGGTGGAATCTCCAGCAGTACATTTACACTTATGTAGCTCACCTTCAAAATTCTTTCCTCTCATCTACCATTCCTACTCTTTTCTTTCCTCCATCTCCATAAATGACTTACCTTATTACAGTAGCGAATCCAGCATTTAATTTTGGGAGGCTTGATTTTTGTTATTTTTTAAGCACAGTAATTACTCTGGAAGAAAAAGAAATAAACGGAATAAATCAATGCTTAAGTGGTCCTTTAAGATCTGTCAAAATAAAATAAAAAAAAGCTTTTTAGGAACAATTGTAATTTTAAGGATAATTTTTTCTAGACATGTAATTGCATTTATTAGCTTTTGTTTTTGTTAATCCCTTCCTCACTTTTTAGACTTAATGGAGATTTTCTCAGGCTAGGGGAAAGTGTGGGAGATTAATTTCAGAGTTAAAACCTCCCTCAACACCAAGAAGCAAACTCATAATTATATAACAGGTAAACTTCGGTTTATCATATGGTTGATTGCCGGGCAATGCGTGCTTTGAACACATGTTAGCCCGCTCAGCCACCCAACCTCTTGCGTTTAGTAGCTGAAATACATGTATTATAATTTAAAGAATAAATATTTTAATAGTATTTAACTGAGATCACTTGTGAAAAAAATATGGGCCAATGAACAAAATATCATTTTTCTATTTTGGGGAAGGGAGGGCTTTAGTCCGAGAGTATTGAAGCCATATCCAGATGTTTTTTTATTTATCAAAAAAGTTAAAAAGTTTCTTTCTCTATTATCTGGAATGCCACAGAACTATTCTTCTCTATTTAGCTTTGAAATAGATTTTGAATTTGCTTAAGAATATTATAAATAGAAATATTTTAATTTTTAAAACCTAAACATGTATAAGTATCCTATGGTAACCATTGTACTTAAGAGGTCTTCGGTAAGAATTACGGTTTATCTCTAAAACAGTATATTATAGGTCCTTAAATTGCAGGGTTATCCATTTTAAATATTCGAGTTGAAACATTCAAAACACTTTTAAAATTTATCTCGTTTCAATCCATTGACTTTTAAAACCATCTTGAGTTTTTAAACCTCCAATTTTTTCCAATTACTTTAAGTAAGATTTTAAGTTTTGAAATTTATATTTATCTCTGCTGTATGAAATTCCCTTTCATTTTATAGCTCATTAATCAAAATTCATTACTCCTGAGAGCCAGAAAAGGAATAAATCTATTTTTTTATTTATTTACTGATGAATTTGAGACATTTTTATTTTTACTTTTTTCCCTGTAGAAAAATTATCTTTTTTAATGTGTATCTTGGTAAACTATTATGTCCACTACTTATAAGAAGATTATGTCCATGGATAATAAATGTGTTTTTAATTTCATACTGATAAAAAAAGCAAGTTAGAATTGGAGAATCTCAAACAATACTTCATGAACAAAGTGGCATTTATTGATTTAATTTACAGAAATATCATACAATATCTATGTACATTTATTTACAAAATAAATCTTGTGTTAAATCAGTTTACAGCAGAAGCAACTGAGTCTTCATTTAGATGAAGGGTTTCACAAGTCCAGATGAAGTAGTCCGGTGGTTTAGCAGTAAATTCCAAATGTTTATTCGCTCCAAAAATATCTTTTAGTTGAATCTTAAACAGGTGGAGATGTAATGGTATCTCAATATCATTCCTCGAAGAAAGTTCTAACTTGGATAACAGATCTGTAGATAATTTCTGAGAAAAAAAAAAAGATATATACATGTCAGACCATTAAATATAAAAGAATCCAAAAATAAATAAATAATTAAACTATTTTACTTGTGGTTGTTGAGCAGTCTGGCTAAACTGATTAATTAGAACTGATTTTCCAAGAATAGTTCTAACAAATCTTCCGAAAACATGATCTCCTAAAATAGGACTAATAATTTCAGTAGCAGCATAAACACGTACAGAATGATGTTTTCTGCAGGTCGTAGATATAACCAGTCTTGAAGCATAATCATTTTCTGAAAGAGTTGAGTGTTCCAATTTGACTGGTTTGACTTCGCCATTCTTGACTCTATTTCTGCTAAATTCTGTCACTAATTTAATCTGTAAAAAAGAAATTATTTATTTGTTTTCTAAATATTAAATTCAATAATAAAATAAATTAAACTAATTTTAAGAATTTAATGTTTTCTATTGCCAATTGATCATGACAATAAAAAAATTTGTGAACCAATAAGGCCACACAATCTCTCATTTTGCTCCAGTGTCACTGAAACTTGGCGATTCCACACTGTTGTATAAACTTCTCAGCCATTTCAGCATTTACTTACCAACTGATAAAATAAAGTATACCACAAGACCGACTTGATTTTTATAAAGCAATTGCTCAAATATGTTGAAGTAAACACTTTCTTATTGACTTCAACATTTTTTAAGAAATTGCTTGTCTGGAAAAACCAAGTTGGATTACTCGTCAAACAAATTACTTGTTGTTATAAGCTAATCGTCCAGGAGATCAGTGCAGAAAAACTGCTCTTAAACAAAATTTATCTCATCCTCAAAAATATTTTTTGTTTAGAATCATATTTCTGAACAATTTATAGGTTAGAACAACATAAATATAGTTTAATAACTGATGTACCCATCGTTGACAGGTGTATAGTTAAAATTTGAGGATTTTTTTTTGAGATGGATTTTGCATTATGGAGAGGGGAGAGTCCAAATTCAATTTCATAAAATTGGATTGGGAGGGGGAAGGAGGATGGTTTTGAATTTTTTTATGGTGGGGCTTATGGAAGTCAAGGTTTCACAATAGTCATAACTTTGTTATTCGGCTATTTGTTTAGGTACCACAAAACTAAACTGACCACTACCGATCGATTAAAATTTGTTAAGTGTTTATTTTTCATTTATGATGAAGCGAGGTGATTGTGGAGTCGATTAATTAAGTTGTAGTCTCTCCACTTCTTTAAACTCTGCTGTGTACTGAATTTTTTCCCTGATTTCCGACTAATCCGTTTTTGACGGCCTCTTTTACAGCTTCATGAAGAGCAATATTAAACAATGTAGCAGACAGCGCTTGTCGTTTGCCGGAAGAGACACCAAATTTCTCGCCAACAGTTTTTCCTACCAAAACCTTTGTATATACATTATTTAAAGCCAACTGAATCATTTATACCAGCTTACACGGCACTTTATTTTTAAATAATATATCAAATAAAACATTCTTGTTGATGCTATCAAATGCTTATTTGTAATCGAAGCATTTAATTAGAAATAATTAAAGATTTCTCATTTTCAGTAGTAATTATAATAGATAACTATGAACTATGAAAGAATTTTATAATTGACTAAAGGAGAAATATTTTTGTAGGTTAAAAACAAACTTCTAGAAATAGTAATGTAGATGTATAAAATGCTATTACAAAGCTGACTATATTATTTTATTATTTTTTTTTTTTGGTATAAAGAACTACAACCACAAGGATCTATTGTGCCCCATGTTCTAATCTGTTTATGCTAAAACGTTAATTTTAATTTTAATAGGCTTCTAATACTATTATATATAGACTTATAAGTGTTTAGAAAATTAATATCTAAAATATTAAATTATAAAAGGTAATAGAGGGTGACAAGAAGCTAATGACTTTCAATTATTGTAGTATTTATTAATAGTTATTAAGTATTGTTCATTTTTGTTATTATTAAATCGGGAATAACTGCTTATGTGGAAACTAAAAAGAAAGTTTCATTGAAAATTAAAAGATAATTTTAAGAATTATTTTCAGATTGAAAAACCAAAAATATATAATAATAATAATGCTTTATTTATTCTGGGACGAGCCCCTTTAAAATAATACAGAGAGACAAAGATGGGCTAAGAAGCCTCAGAGATACATAAACAAGAATATAGTTTGATTAAATAGTCAAAATAAAAGAAATTATAAGTTACTTTTTAATTTAAATCAGTTAATAATAAAAAATTGAAAATAAACATGAAGTAAAAATAATGAAAAACGATCTAATAATTTATATACATATTTACAGTGGTAGCTATTTACAATTTTATGAGGGCTGGATGGATAAGAAACGATTAAACAGTCGGGATTTAAAGGTAGAAAGAGTTTTGGATTGACGGGTATGGGGAGGGATGGAGTTCCATAGGGTTGAGGATCGAATAATAAAAGATTTATCGAAAGCAGTGGTTCAGTGGGCCATTATATATAAATCTGAAGACCGGGAACGGGTATTGCGGGAGTAGACTGAGGATTTAAATTGACGGAGCTCGGAGATGTATGAAGGAAAGCGGGAGTGAATTAATTGGAAGAGGAAGGATGCCAGGAAATACAGCGGTAGGAAGGATAAAGCCATTAAAGCTCTTCAAAGAAACAGGAAACAGGGGCGCCTCTTGGGATCCCGAAGATGATACGTACAAAGCAATTTATCAAACGTTTTAGTTTCGTCTCGAGATCCCCAGAGACGCCCCCATATAGTGCAGCAATAGTCGAAGTGGGGAAATATTAAGGAGGTGACCAGGAGTCTACGGATTTCAAAAGGAAAAAGGTGTCACAGGCTATTGAAGTGTTTTAGGGTGGAAAAGGTACGTCGGGAGATATTGGATACATGGTTTTTCCAGAAAAGGGTTTGATCAAAGATTATTCCAAGGTTTTTGATGATGGGATAGAATTTAATAGGATTATCATGTAGGAACAGGGTTGGAATGTTAGGAACTGTTTTGAGGAGGTGATTGGAGCCTATTAGGATTGTCTTGGTCTTTTCCGCATTCAACTTCAGCTTGTTAGCTCCTGCCCAGTCATATATTCTATTTAAATCTTCTTGAAGCTTTTTTGTGGCGGCTAATAGGTCAGAAGGAGAGGAAGGGCAGGTACATTTGGAAATCGTCAGCATAGATGTGGTATTGGGAGTGATGGATCAGGAGGGGAAGGTCATTAATGTAAATAGCAAACAGAGTAGGAGATAAGGAGGAACCCTGAAGGACACCACAGGAGAGGGCAGTGTCTTTGAAGGAGGTTGATCTGGGATGACTACATATTGGGATCGATCGGAAAGGAAGGATTTGAACCAACATAGGAAACTGTTCGATAGAGGAAGATTTTGCAATTTGGTAAGAAGGATTTTATGGTCAACTGTATCAAACGCTTTGGAAAAATCTAGAAGGATGAGGATAGTTAGGTTTTGGTGTTCAATGGAGTTTTGAAGGTCATGAGTTATTTTAAGGAGGGCAGATTGCGTTGAATAGCCCGGTCGAAACCCAGATTGGAATGGATTAATGACGGAACATTCTTCTAGGAAGTTGGAAAGTTGGTTTTGGAGAAGGCGTTCCAGTGGTTTTGAGAGGTTGGAAATAAGAGAAATAGGACGGAAGTCGTTCAGTGAGAAAGGGTTAGAAGTTTTATTCAAAGGTCGGACTAGTGCAGTTTTCCAGAAAGAGGAGAATATGGAGTTTTGCAATGAAAAGTTGTAGATATGATAAAGTACTGGAATAAGGGTAGGAAGGCTGGATTTTATAAGTATTACTGGAATATTGTCAGGACCATAATCATTGGTGTGGGATTTTTGGATAGTGGAAAGTACTTCGTCGTAGGACACATGGGAAAAAAAGAAGTTTTCAGGATTGAAATTGTGGTGTTCAATATCATGAGTAGGAGAAGGATTAGAAGCAAATGATAAGAAATGGTCATTAAAATCATCTGGAATAACTGGGAGGAAAATGAGGTTATTGGAATCTGGTAGGGATAGATTACAAAGTATTTTCCATTTTGATTTGGAATCGGGAGCATTGGAAAGGGCATTATGGGAGTAGTTGGATTTAGAAAGTCGGATTGTGGATTTGGTTGCATTGCGAAGTTGTTTGAAAGACGTATAATCAGCAGGTAACGGTATATATAGTGTATATATACTGTATATAGTGTACAGAATGTTTATTCTTCATAATAATTTTCCTAAGTTTGTACTTATAATTAAAGTAACATTTGTGTGTTGTGATAAATTATTTATTCTAATTAAAAATTATTTTTTATCTTCACTCTTTCTTGATAAATAACAACTAATTATTTATAAATATGTTACATCAAATGACAGATTATAATTTTATGAATAACTAAAAAAAATGTATTAATTTTTAAATTTGTTGTATGACTGGAAGAATAATTTTGATTACAGTAAGTGAATACAGCTTTTTTTTATTCTTAACATAAAAGAACATCTACCTGTAATAGGATTTCTGAAATATATTATATTTTTATATATAAATAATCTCAATTGTTAATTAAATAGATATACCATTGCAAATAGCTTAGCTTATTTTTTTATTATTCTCAAATAAAACATTACCCCTCTCTTCTTATTATCATTTTTGGGTGATGTTACAGTTATGCCACCTACAAAATTTCCTTCTCGAATAGAGGGCTGCCCTATAACAATACATTCATAGAACTCTGCTGGATGTTTAATACACGTCATTGATCTCAAACATTTTTGAACTCTGTTTAGCATTGGTTGATTTTTGCAGTATATTGCTACTCCAGATGCATACCTGTAAAATTTAATGAGTGAGGTAAATTGATTGTTTTTTTCATTATTTGATCAAGGTAATTAGATTGAAAGCAGTTTGATTTATAGTATGCATTATGAAATATACACTTTTCTCCCCTCAAAATCACAGATATTCTTTAGGATGAATCTTGTTTAATTATCTTTAAATGTGTATTAATATACATTTAAAAATAAAAACAGATTAATTTATAAAAATTTAAACAGATTTCTAAGATACTATTTTTCAGAAATTTCATATACCTTATCCGCATTGACTAAGCAAGAAAATGGCACAAGCAAAAATCTTATCTTCATTCTATAGTAAATAATGTGAGTATATTTTACAGTTGATTTGAAGGGATAAAAATAATTACATTTAAATATAAAATAAGTATTCTCAGGCTGAAAGAAAATCTGCATTGAATTATAATCACAATTAATAATAATAATAATAATGATTATTAGTGGTAGTTTGCTTTAAAAATTATCAGCCAAGACTTGCTTAAATGTTTAAACTATCTATTTCTATAAAAAGAAAACATGATTGTTATGGTTACATTAATATTCATACAAGATATAAATTCATGAGATACTTAAATAGATAGATGATTATCAAATTTTAGAGTGATAACAAAGCTTAGTCACAAGGGCTTTTTTGATTTAATTTCAAGAAATATATTTTTCTTTCATACTAGATGATATTCGAATCTCTTTTTTTTTAATATTGAATAATCGATGGCTGACCGTTATATATTATTGAGTAAGGCAATGGTCGGGAATAGTGATCATAAAAAGACTAAAATAGTAAAATGCTATTTTTATTTCAAGCCAATGTTTCGACCCAGCTCTGCAGGTCTCCTTCAGAGCTGAAATGAACAAAATAAAAAAATATATAAAAAATGTGGAAGTTACATCATACTTAGATAAAAATTGAAGAGAAGGATAGTTGGGGTGATAAGTCGAAATAAATATAATAATAAAATACCATTTGTATTTTATAAAAATACAATATAATTACATTTATATTTATCTTTCATATCTTAGTTTTCTTCTTTTTTCCTCCTTCTCGTCAATCTATTTTCCATATCTCCATCTCTGTTTTGTATATATTGATACATTCGCTCATTTATCTTTTTTACATTTTAACTTTGTATTCTCTTGTACGTAGTCAGTATATTTCAATAGATTTTACAATATCTCAATTTTCTATTTATATCTATTATATCCTTATATAAATTCATATTCCTTTTCTTAGTTTTACATTTTATTCTAAAATTACCATTTTTCATTTCTTATGTTACTTAATTTTGAATATGTTTATTTCATTTGTCTGTACTTTATTGCCATTATTATTATTATAATTCTTAATTCTCTCTTAGTGCTATTATTCTACCTACTTTATTTGACTTTAATATTCACTCTACCTACTTTATTTTACTGTAATATTCACTCTATCTACTTCATTTTACTTTAAGTTTATTCTAACAACATTTTTTAGTCTATACCTTCCACCTTTTTTATTTTAATTCTTTATTATTCAATGTTTATAGTTTTTCATACCTATTGTGATCAGGTTTTTTTTTATAGCCCTAATTTAGGCCTGCAATGGCTAATATAATTATTTATAAAAAAATAAATATAATTATTTATTTTTTATTTTGACTGATCACAACCATCCTGCTCTTCAATTATTCACTACAGTCAACCAAGTGTGAAAAAACTTATTAAAATTGTAAAATATGTGAATAGAAAGTATACAGGAATATTAAGAACAATAAACTATATAAACAGAATAAATGAAGTATAACTCTCTAACCTTTTTAGCCCTAAAAACCTGCAAAATTGGGTCTCGAAAGGTTGGTTTGAAAAAAAAAAATAGTCTTATCATGACAGTCACCCAGGACCATCTCCTTTCTCATTTTTTAAAGTTAAACAGTTCATAAAAAAACTTCCTTCATGGTTACATTTAATTATGGTTTTAAACAGTGCAATTGACAATATAAACTAAAAACCTTTCTGGAACTTTGGCTGGATATAATTCTTTGCAGTCCAAGCTCTTCATCAAGAATGGACGAACAACATCAAAAGTTAAACCTTTTCCTCTTAACTCAGCATTCTGTCCTAAACTAACTCCTTGTGGTTTATTAAGGACAACTATGTCTAAAAACAAATTAGTCTTAATAATGTTTTTAACATGGATAACTAGCAATTGCTTTTAAAAAATACTACCATTGTCATGATAAACTATATTTTTACATAACTCTTCAGAAAGTTCATATGATTTATAATTGGTTACTTTATAAGGATGATTGTTTCTTGAGCTTTGATGAAAATATTTCTCAGTTCTTAAAATAGCCTGTAAAGTTTTAAGGCTGAACATTTTGAAGGAATATACTAATAAAAAAACAACCTTTTTATTTATTAATCCATGAAATGTTAAAAAAAATTTTAGACCAAACTAGTAATCAGCAACCAATGCAAACGAATTGATCCTCATCATTACTATAACCTCACCATAAACAGAAACCTCTCTACTGCATAGAGAAACCATTGTGAATACAAAGAGATCATGTGCGTGGTAAATCAAGTCAAGTGGTCAAGGAACAATGGATGCAGACCACCTAGATACATGCCCTACCTTGACGGACATCAAAAAGAAAAAAGATATTTTTAAATGAATATATGAAAAACTCAAATTCATACTGGGTAGCAAGATGCCGGATGGTCAAATGACCAACGACTTCGGCATAGGAACAAAAAAAAAATGCGAGTGGTAAATGACAAATAATACATTTGTCGGATACAGAATTTGATGTCCTACCAAATGATAGTAAACATACCTTTGGATATGAATAAAAATACATATATACCGTTCTTTCTCTCATCATTAGTTTAAGTTACATCACTAGAAAGTGTAATTATAAGATAAGTATCTTCAGATACACCAATTGCTCTATAAGGAATGGAATCTTTATGATTTCCAAAATAAATACCAGATACTTAAAGCAAAAAGGTTCTAAGGAAACAGAAATAAAAACTACTTCAACAGTAGTTTTAAAATGGCTTATATGCCACCGTTGTATGGTCTATTAATAATCATTTCTTTATTAAATTTTGGATTTGAATTTTTTACCTTCCTCGCCACTTAGTTAAGTTTCCTCCTGACGTCTATGATCTCAATGGACACCTTTTTTGAATAATAGACGACAGGCGTGTTTTTCTTTTCACACGACTCTTAACACCAAAGCGACTGTACTGATGTTAAAGAAGCGCTTAAAGTTTTCTTCTTAACTTCTTTTCAATTTTCACATTTATTCAATTTCCGAGAAAAAGCAGGAAATAAAGTTACAACAAAAATTTTATTTGCACATAACTCATAACATCATGAAAAGGACGACATTGGTGTGTGTATTTTTAAGTACGGAAATTAAAATCTTTCTGCATCTACAAAGCAAAAAATACAGTATTAAAATAGATAATAACAAAAAATAATTGTGTTTAATAAATTTATAAGTGCTTAAAAAGACTTGGCGTTTCCTTTTTAAACGCTTTTGCATAGGTTAATAGCATCTTTATTTGCATTTGTTTTAATGTAATTATTTTACTTAATAAATAAGCTTGAAGAATCTACATTTATTTTTTTACACTGGAAGTTTTTTATTATATATTTTTTTCATTCAAGTGGAGAGTTTTGGGACTATTTGCACAGTGTCATGTGGTTACTTTATTTGTAACCTGTTGCTTTGTTTTGAAAACTTTAGCAATAGCTGGATTAAAACCTTCTGCAAACATTAATATTTAACTGAGGAACAAAAATATGAGATAACTTTTTAACATACATATAGCCACAATGATTGACAATTATCTGGTGAATGACATTACTATTATTTGCCATTAGCTGTGACAATTATGACTAAATGTTTTAAATAAACTAAGTTATTCTTTCTTATTCATTGTTATTGTCATCTGGATCATGGGAAATACAAATTTCCCTCTGTCAATATTTTCTTTAATTTAATTTTAATTAATACTCTGTGGTTGACAATGCGGTGTAGTTATAGTTTTTTAGTTCACCCTGGTGTTTTAACTGGCATTACGATGGTCTTGTCAATATTAATATCTCAAGTCATGAATTTTTCATGACTGATGGTTTATTCAATGACCAAAAGATTTATTCAAAGATACTACAAATATTCTTGAAGTATTGGTACCTAATCATTCTTTATGATGAAAATGATTCCATACGTTAAAGGATTACCCATTATTGGGACTTCGTTATCTATATTAGCTGCTGGATCCAGCCCAAAGCTGCATTTGTATATAGATAGAAGACATAAAAAGCTGGGTCCGATCTTCAAGGAGAACATGGGAACAGTATGTGGCACATTCGTTGCTGATCCGCTGGCAGCCAGGACTGTCTTTTCTGCCGAGGGAAGATATCCAAAACATATGGTACCAGATGCCTGGAAAGTTTATAACAAAATATACAATTGTAATAGAGGGCTGTTTTTCATGTAAGTTGTCCGAGCTGTATATTGTTTAATGTATTTGTTTTTAAAAATGTTTAATTAAAAATAAAACTTTGAAGTAATAATCAGCTCTGCAACTAATAGGGAGGGAGAAGAATGGCTGAAGTACCGACATATAATGAATAAATTGATATTGAAGAGGAATTTACCAAACCAGCAAGTTCAAGAATATATTATAAGTAGTTTTATGGAAAGTATGGATAACTTTGTTGGAAAACAAATGCATAACATTGAGCACAAATTTTATCAATTGTCAATAAGTTGTGAGTAACAAGTAACTATTTTTTTTTTTTAATTTATGTGCAATTATATAGAATTAGAGTTAGATTTTTTTAAGGATTATGATTCTTTTGAATAACCTTTGGCCCTCATTGGACAAAAAATATAATTGTTTCCTTAGGTATTAATTAGAAATATAACAACACACGATTAATTTGGTAATACTGTATTATAGATTTATGGAAATTTATTTACAAAATGTATATATTCTTTCCCTTTAGTTTTTATTGGAACTTTGATGGGTACTGCAATAATTAACAAAATGGAATACTTTAACAAGGACATAGATAACTTAGCTCTTGTTGTTAATTCCATATTCTCAACAACAACAAATTTAATGAACATTCCAATCAGCCTTGCCACATCACTCAATATGAAGATTTGGAAAGAATTTACTGAATCTGTGGAATATACCCTAAAGGCAGGTGGGAATTGCTTTTAATAACTAGTACTTGATTAATATAAATGAGTAAAATACTCAAGAAACAGACAATAGATGTTAAGTTATAATTGTAAAAATCTAACCAATTATTTTTTCTCTGCTGTTGATGCCTTAATTGGTAAAATGTTGATGGGATACTTTGTTCTTTATTTTAGAGACACAAGGCTATTTGATTAGATTTTTCCATTTATAACATAACTAGTAATTATTATTTTAAAATATAATTTAGAAAAGTGTTATTTGTTATAATTTTGAATAATTAATACTTAACTTTGTTTAAAATATTAATAATCCAATTTCAAACTGGAAAGATTGTTCAGATTTTTCTCCAATATTATTTATTATTATTATCACTGCTGACTTCTGGTGGAGCATAAGGCATTTACAAGTGCATTCTATTCTGCTCTTTTTGCTGCTATAATTTTCACTTGTGGCTAAGTATTGACAGCCCGGCTCAGATCAGTTTATACTGATCTGCACCATGTCTGTTGGTGTTCCTCTTCTTCTTTCTTCTTGGGGATTCGATTGCTACTATGAATTATCAGTCAAAGTTATATAAGTAAATGTTAAACTTGTTATATTCCCTAGACATTTTTTGATAGGTCAGATGTTTCTAAATTAGTTGTTTTTTTAATTTTTGAAAAAATTATCTTATTATTTACACAACTTAAGTACAAAATATATATATTTTCTCCCAAAACCCATTAAGGTACATATACAAAACTTGTGGAGGAAGAGTATTGCTTAATACTTTAAACAACAACAACAGTATTTACCTTTTTTTATTTAACAAATATGATATTTGAAATCCATCAAGTTTGAAGTTTCTTTAAATCTTTAGTATTAATGTTCCGTTTATCAGATAATATGAGGATGAAATTAAAAAATAGATATTTTATGAATATTGATCTTGAATAGTTTAATCATCTATTGATAATATCACATGTTTTAATTGTTGATATATTAGATTAATTTCTAAATAGATGTTAAAAATATGTAATGGTATGTAAGATCATTTGTATTTAAAGATATTTAATTGGGTGGTCATATCAATGAATTTTTTTATTCTGTTCAGTTACTACTTTCATTATTACAAGCTATAATATTAAAAAAACAAAAATAGCAATCATATGTTGCACATACTTCACTACTAATTACAGATATATAATTTGCATTTCATTCGATTTTGTCTCTAATCTCCAAATTATTGAAAGTAGAATTATCTTCATAAAACTTTTCAAGAGCTGCTTAAAATAAGACCATATTAGAGAAGAATCCATCATTCCATTGTCAGTGTCATTATATTGAAAGAAGGCCGATTCCTTTAGACTTTTAATTTTTGATACAATATAAGTGTTTTCGCAATACCCTTCTACCTTAAACCATATGTACCAGTGTATATAAACATGTGTGGGAAACAATGAAATATGGCTCTAGAATAAGTTCTGGTTTGTGCGATGAGCCGTGGGTAGGAAAGATCTTTGGTTATTCATGTTTACAACTCTTTATATAAGGAATTTTGTATACCTCAAAGTGCCAAGAGACATTAGAAACAGTGGTATGACAGTAGTGCTATGATCGGCAGCTCAGATGAGTATGGTAATTGGCTCCAGACACACAACAGTCAATCCTCCAAGCTTAGAGTCGCTAACGATGATGGGAAGCGAGTTCTATTGGAGGATATTGAGCTTGACGTGAAGACGACCCAGACAGATGCAAGAAGAGAAGAAAAAGGCTTGCAGGTAAGCATAGGACGTCATTCCAACCGGCCACCACCTGTTTTACTACAAACTGCATCACAAACAGAACGTTCACCACTCTATGATTCATTCAAGGAGAAAATAAGGGTATATCGAGCTTTGCTTAAGTTTTATTTTACAGCTTTCCTTATAGTGGTATCATCTGCTATGGCAGCTTATTTCAGTCTGAAATATTGGAAGGGGCCTGTATCTAATGTGGATGAAAATGTAGAACCACAGATGGGGCAAATAGCAGCATTTTTTTCAAACTTCATACACAAATGTTTGTATTGCCCGCAACATAGGTAATGGAACATTGCCGTCTCATTTGTGGTAAAAAGATGCTACCTGCAGAAATACAGTTTTACGTATAGAAATTGTATTATTATTTCTTTGTAACATATTTATTCTATCCTTTGTTAATATCCCTCACTAAAAAGTTTGTCCATCGGCCTTGAAATATTTTACATATAAGTAGAGGAGTCATCATATTTGGTTATTTTAAGCAAATATTGAATTTATGAAATAAATTTTTTTTTTATTGGGACGTTTTGATTTATATGTGTTGATTGAAATTGAATTGTCCTTTCCTCTATAAAATGAAATTTTATATGTTTTTAAAATTAGAAAATGCTAATATCAAATCTCTGTTATTGTTTATTTTTTCTAGAGATTTAATTATTTAAAAATTTAATTTTGAATCTCAAAAATGTATAAGCTTCTTTGTTGTACATAATATATCCTTTTTATGAAGTAAGATTTTTTAAAGAATTTATAAAATCAATTGGAATTTATAATATAATTTTATTTGGTTGACATTTACTGCTATAACATTATATATATATATATATATATATATATATAAAATAATAATATTTCAAAAGATATTGTTTCTTTTAATAATTTCATTTTCAATAAAATAACCCAATGAAACTCTACTCTCATTGGGTTACTAAGGAAGTACAAGATTAAAAATAAAATAGTATTTATTGATAAAACATCTTAACATCCCTATTACATTATATCAATTAAGTTATTAAGGGTTTTAACAAATTTAGTTATGCTCTTCTACAAACTCCTATGGAATAGGTTTGAAACCTGAAAAGAAAGAAAAAATACACTGGTAAATACGGTATTTCAAAGTTTATTACTCCTGCATTTTAAATATTACTTTGTATTGTTTTTTGTACACACTTTTGACTTGAAATGAACAGTTTTACTTGTTTAATAGTCTGTTTGTTAACTACACACCTAAAAAACTGGAGCTGTGAGGAACCGACTAGTAATAGTAACCTACTAGATTTATATTTATCTATTTACATATTTTTTCCTAAGGCTGCAATTTAAAAGAAAATAAACCATGACTTATTTTACACATTTGGAAGATATATATATATTTTATAGTTCATCTTTAGTTGACAAAGAAAATTCACATAAAAAAAAATTGGAGGAAAGTTTTATAAGTTATTTTAACTTGTAAACAAGACTTAAGTAATTTTTTTCCAACGAAATAGGTTACTATCTAAAGTAATTTTACCTAAAAATTTAATTTGCTATTCAGAATTCATCACATTGTATCTCAAGATGTGTCATACTGAACTCATTTTGTTTAATTTGTGGAATGACAAGTCATATCATCCTCTGAAACCCTTGTGTTGAAATACAATCTTGAATTTCCTTCCCAAAGAAACTTTTCCTAAAGAAAATGTTTTCTTTTATGATAGCTATGAAAAAGATATGGCAAAAAGTCAATGGCTTGGAGGTAACGAACAATTTTACTGAAAAAATAAAGAAAAAAAAGGAATATGAAGGAGAGGTTAATTTCTTCATCCTTTTTAGAAAGGCATAAATTGACTTTTATTATTTGTTGTGCCGTGTTTTAGTGAGAGCTGATATTATGTTCTAAAAATTAAATAATAAACATTAAAAAAAAAATTAAAGCATCCCTAATAGCCCATTCATGTAGATATGGAATGTTATGAAATAAAAAAGAATTTTTAGATAACCAGCTGTCCATTTAGTCTCTTTTCAAAAAAAGAAGTTTTTATATATTGTTTTTGTTTTCTTTGTATAAATCTTACATAATAATTATTTTGAAGTTGTTACCTTTTTGTTTCTGGTCTACTGTTAATTATTAGTTAACTGAAGCTTGATGGTGAAGGAGATCCTATTTTAAATTAAACTCCTTTTGGCCAATTCCTTTAGAGTAATTTAAGTTAGGAATTATAAATAATACGTCAAAAAAAAAAATATATATATATATGTATTTATTAATTTAATTTTTGTTATATTTCTTTTTGGGATTCTCTCTTGCTCCTAGATTAAAGCATAATTATTTATAATTATGATCTAGTTCTATACTGTTTTTTTTTTATTATTAATTTTAAATTATTCCTCTGCTGCAAATATGGCCGAACCAATAATCTCAGTTCATGTATCGGGCAAATGTCTAAACATGCTCCTTGTCACCTGCCGGCCTAATGATATAACAAAAAACTAATGGCTAAACTTATTGAGAAGAAGAATTATAGATATTTCTTAGAAGTTAATTGTCTTGATACAGAAAGTTCCACTTCATCTAGTGCAACATTTTTTCGACACAAATTTAGTATGACATAATAGGCATTAATTGTAGATCCTAAAATCAGTGGAAGTGCTTCATGACTATCGTATGTGTATGACCCATGAAAGGTCTAGTCTTGGTCTCATTGCTTTAAGGAAGTTCCGTTTCTCGTTCAATGGTCATACAAGGAGATGGATGATCTAAATCACATTCAACCATCATGTTTATCACATAATTAATTATTTAACTGAGAGTACCCACTTTATAGAGGCTGCATGTGCCTAGTAGGATCTCCCGACCCAAATATTAATCCATTGATAGTGCAACAAAATGATTATCTGCCACATCTGAATTTGAATCTTGGATTTATAACATATGAGCACAGTGCCTTATTTACTGAGCTACCTTGCTCCTTTTTATTATACTACTTGATTCTGTCTAACTTTTTTTTTTTAATATTATCTATTGGTCTAATGAATTAGTTATTCAAAAAAGTTGAGCAGTTGCAATTTTAGTTTTTTTTTTATTTCTTCTCTTATCTGGTAACAACAACATAATTTTAGTTTTATATTTTCTAGCCTAAATCAGTTCAGGTTTTAAATTGAGGTCTATTTCTTACAATGGATTTCATAATCAAGATTATCTATTGAAAATTATATTTCTTTATTTTTTCACTAAGATAATTTGTGGATTTTATTTAATATTTATTTATTTAATACCTATTGAAGAACTAAAAGTTTAATTAAATTAGACAACCAGTTACTGGTTCTATAAATTCTATTCGAGATTTAAAGATATAAAAATAAATTGTAGCTAAGTGTTGGGATCTGTTAGGTAATAGAAGAAAGTTTTGAAACCACTTCATAGTTTATATTAAAACAAAAATCTGTTGATATTTTGTGCGTTATAGTAGATCATGATTATCTAGATGAGCGGCTCCTACTGTTTTTGGCCTACAGGCCACATTAAAACCTCCACCATGTCCTGCGGGCCATATTGAGACTTCCACTAAGCACACTGGCTATGGCTTGTGATGGAAAAAAAAGCTTGTTATATAAACAATCCTTTCAGTTGACAGAATGACTAACTCCAATTTCAACATTTCATATTTATGTCATTAGAGTTCATGATGGCAGAATGTGTTGAGCCATTGCCTGCTTTAACATTCTCGAGTCTAGCGACACCATTTTGAATCCATCCTGGGCAGGTTGGAATTTATTTAATGTTGGACCCACAGAATGAATCTCAACCTTTTCACTCTGGTTAGAATAAGTTTGGTTTTGTATTAGGTTATGGTACCTCTATAACATTCCCTTCTCCATATGTTATACATGGTGAGGTAGGTGATAAAATAAAATAAATGAAAGAAAAAAAAAATTAATTTGGATAAATTTGCTCTTGAAATGAGCCCATTAGATTAATCTCTGGATAATCAATGCTCTAAAATATGGCCCGCAAGCACCTCCTGTCTGACCTGCAAAAATTTCTTTGATTACAATGTAAATTTAAAAAAAAAATATGAAATTTAGCAAATCGCTCAGGCAAGAGTTTACTACAAAATTTATTACATGGACTTTTCCTTCTAGAAAGCTCATTTGACAACTGAAGTGTTATTTATAGAACATGTTTTTTTTTCATCTCAAGCAATGTCCCACGGGACTTAGGTGGAGGTCTCAATGTTGCTTGTGGACCAAAAAGTTTGGAGACCCCTGCTCAAATATATTTGATAAAAATATTATTACCAAAACCAAATAATTCAAAAATAAAATTATTATAAAGTTTCTTATCTATGGTTATTCTTTTTATATTTTAAAGTTTATGAACAATTTTTAATTCTTATGTTTTTAATGTGATCTGAAATTTCTTCAACCATTATTTAGTAATCCAATAAAAAGTAAAAGTAATAAATGATTGTGGATGCTGATATCTTAGGATAAACATTTTAGTAAAGAAGTAGTGTTTGTATTTTGCTATTGGTTTTGAATTTGTTCATAGCTTAGTGTAATGACATTAACAGTGAGAGTTCTAATCATTGCTATGCTGTGAGTTGGACTGGTTCTGTGAGTATCTGTTTATTGTGCAGGGAGGGTACTGTTAGAAAAAATTAAAGGCTTCCCTTTGAATGATGGACTACTGAAAGACTTACTGGAGGAAGACCTGGATGACGAAGTAATAACTGGACTTGTCATGGATATGATTCTAGCTGCAGGTGATACTGTAAGCTCTTAGTGTTTTTTAAATTTTTTTTTATCACAATTCATTTGATTTTGATTTTTAAATTTATTTTACCGCTATCAAATATATGACATGAATAGGACATAGTATGTATACCTTGATCATTTATTGAAGGAATAGAGTGGAAAAGTGAAAGAATGGTGGCTTCCCTTAATAACTGGCCATGATATATATTATTATAAGTTATAATTATTATTAATCAAACTATTATAAGTTATATTTATTATTTATCAAACTATAAACAACAATCCACCCCATGTAGGGAGGGGTCTTGGGACTTCCTCAATTAACTTCCTAACTATCTACTGTTAACTATTTCTCCTTTATAATTAATATGATAATTTTTAAAATATTAATTTTTTTTTAGTTTAGTAATTTTGTTTGAATCAGTTTATAAATACATGTCTATATACTTGTACATGTTGTAATATTTCTCTTATATTTTAAACTAGTAATATACTTCGTGAAAGATCACTTCAATTGTTGGGATACTTCCTAAAGAAATAAGAGCTTGTTAAGTAACAAACAAAATGATAAGAATATTAATATTATAAACTGAAATTTACAATTATTCTATCTCCGTTATGGGTCTCTGGCAATCAGATCAAAACACTCCGACAAACTATTATTATTTACACTAATTATCTCCGAGCTCCTCCAATTCAAATCCTCTGTTCGCTCCCGCAATACTCGTTCCAGGTCTTCTGATTTATACATAAGGGCCCATGAGCCGCTTTCGACAGATCGTTCATTATCTGATCCTCATCCCTATGGAACTCCATCCCTTCCCACATCCGTCAATCCAATACCCTTCCTATCTTTAAATCCCGCCTGTTCAATCATTTCTTATCCATCCAGTCCCCATAAAATTGTAAATAGATACCACTGTATATATATATATATATATATATATATATATATATATATATATATAAATTATTAGATTGTTCTTCATTATTTTTAATTTATTTTCAATTTTTTATCATTAACTCATTTAAGTTAGAAAGTAACTTATAATTTTTTAATATGTCTATTTCATTACTGTACTTTTCTTTTTATGTATCTCTGAGGCTCCTCAGCCCACATTACTGTCCTTCTCTAAAGGGACAAGTATTATTATTGTTATTATTATTTATACTAAAATTAAACGCTGATTTTAAAATAAAGTCAAGTATGAATTGGCAAGCTAACATTTTTTATATATACAATGTTTCTTCCTTTGTGAATATAATGAATTCATTTGTCTTCAAACACTTTTTAAAGTTCTGCCAAACACACCTTCCAAAATGGTGACACTTTCATCTACTCAACTTAAGCTCCCTGGGAGATCCTTTATCTTGTGTTTCTAAGCAACTAGTGACTGTCAAACTACAACTTCCATGATGGTTATTTACTATTGCTGGGTTTTACCCACCCTGGATCCCTTCTCCTATCCTCTCTTCACTGCAGCCAAATACCAACTTGCCAAAACAAAATCCTTTTTCCCCTCTCCTCTTTGTGATTTTCCTTTCTGTAGAAACTACAGAGCAGCCAATTTCTTCCCCTCAACTAGTGGAACTATTTTTGAAATTTAAACATCCCCTGACATTAGCAGAACTAGATTAGCTTGCCTTTTAACTGTTCAATATTAATTTACTAAACCATTTTTAGCAACTTACAATAAAGGTGTATATTACAATATATTAAGAAAATCTTTTGTTCAAGTAATACCTATTTGTTAAGAATAAATTTAACACATTTTTCAGTCTGCTTACACAAGTCAATGGGCTCTCTATCTGCTAAGTAGAGAACCAGAAGTGGCTGATAAAGTACGTTCTAACGATCAGTTGGTTAGTGGTGTGGTTAAAGAAGTTCTGAGGCTCTATCCTGCGGCAATATTCATCTCTCGCTACTTGGATAGAGATCTAATCTTACCAACTTTAGACTGTCAACTGTCCAAGGGGGTAATGATAGAATTTTAAAATATACTTATACATACTTCTCATATTTGTATTGCTTAAATAACCATTAAACTAAAATTTTGTTTTATTTCATATCTAATCTGTATAGAATGTCTTGTTTACAATTATTTTAATTAAGAAGAAAATGACCTCCCTTTAAGAAGATTTTTGATGATAGAATAAAGAAACTTGTTCATTTGAAGACTTTTATAAAAGTTAAATACCCTTTAATTTTATTCAATCACATTTTACAAATGTTATTCATAAAATTCAACATTTTATGTGATGCAACCGGGCATATAGCCTGTTAGTAGAGTTAGATTTGTAAGTTGCTGTGTTTGGTTTAAATTCATATTTATACCTCACTTCTTTTCGTTTGACTGTTCAAAGTATAGCATTTTCAAATACTATTGATATCTTGATTTTGAACTGAAAACATCAGTCTTTTCAAAACTTTTAAGTGTGTTTAAATCATTTTCTAGTCAAGTTGTAAATATTTTGGATAATTTTCAGGAATTAGTGATGTTATCATTGTACACCATTGGTCGACTTGAATCTGCCTATACTGAACCTCTCAAGTTCAAGCCTGAAAGGTGGATGAGGCACGTTGACAGTAATAGCCGTCATTATTTAGGTGTCAAAGAACCTATGGCCTGGTTGCCGTTTGGTGTTGGATCTAGATCATGTATTGGTCGAAGATTAGCAGAGGCCCAACTTCACCTCACCATATCTAAAGTAATCAATGCTTTTTATCTTTCTCTCGCTGGATGGCATGTAAAAAGCTATATGATAAAGTTTTTGTCCAAGTATGTAATTTATTACACTCAAATTTTAAATTTTAACTGTTGTTTTCTTAACAGGGACTAGTAACTATTTATTCCACTATAAAGAAATGTTTGGTTGTCATTATTTATCCCTTTTTGTTAATTATTAACACATTTTTTTATGGCATTTTTTGCAAGTGCATTATGGTTATAGTGGGATTTAACATAATTTACCAAACGAGTCATCAAGCCATTTTTATAAGAAGTGAAGCGGTACTGAGCAAGTTGTGAAGTTTCTATTTCATCATCTGTGTCATGAATTTAAACTAACTGCTTGATTCCTGATGAATTTGTTATGACTACATACAAATCAACCATTTGTTGTCTATACCATTCAGTGTAAATGGTTTCGTCACCTTTTAGCAACTCATAATGGTTTATCTCCACATTCCAGGTTTTTCGTTTCTCATGCCAAAATCACCATTTTTTAAACCACTCAAATCACTTTGATTTACTGTAAGAAGTATAGAATGTGATTCTGCTGCAGTTTTCTTTAAATGGTAACAAAAAACTAATGCTGTTACAAATCTTAGTTTGCACGCATAAAACTCGACATGTTCAACACTGTTAAAATGATTAAATGAACTTGTACTGTTGTGTTGAAAATCTTTGCCAGTTGTCGAAGAAAGAAAATGGCGCCAATAATGTAGTTTAATTTAGGATAAATTCTGTATCAGTTATTTCTCCTTTTCTATAAAAAATATCATATATTGTAATATTGAATATTTAATAGTTGACCGTTGCATTATAAAGGAAGGAGATGGTCCGGGGTGGTGGTGGTCATAAATAGGCTAAATAGTGGCAAAACTATTTTATTAAAAGCCAACATTTTGACCTGACTTTGCAGGTCTTCTTCAGGGCTAGAACGGACAAGATATAAAAAGATATAGAGAATTGTGGAAGTTACATAATATTTAGACAAAAAATTATAAACAATGTGAATAAGCTTATTAAAATTATAAACAGTAAGTACATTCAAACATAAACAGAGTAAGCTAAGTAACAAGATCCTAAACTGAAGTAAATAGATGATAACAATTGTTGTAGTGTAATATATAATATATGCAAATGTGAATATACTTCTACAGATCTACTGGAGAGATTGAAAGGAAAGGAAAAAGGATATAATATGAAATAATAGACATAAAGGAATGTGGAGACAAAAAAGAAAACCAAAAATAAATAAATAAGTATATAAAATTAGAAGAATAAAAATAGAGACTTGCAGGCGTGTTCAGCTAGGAGTTTCACTTAGAACTGGAAAATCATGGTAAGTGTAGGTATTGGGGAAATTTCCTGACCTGTTTGGGTAATGGGGGGAGGGGAAACCTGGAAAATTACAGTATCTAAAATTTGAAGATATGTATGGATAAACCATATAAAATAGAATTAAGAGATTATAGATAGGTGTACAATGTGAATAAAAACAAAAATGGAAGAAGAGTAAAACATACATAGAAGTAAAATATAAATATAGAAAGTTGGATCGAAATATTGGCTTTAAATAAAATAGTTTTGCCACTATTTAGCCTATTTATGACCGCCACCACGGACCATCTTCCTATATATTATAATAGTTAATGAATAATAATAAAAAAGTTGGGGTAGTGGCAAGAGGTATAGTGTGCTTTAGGTTGCGGCAGAAGCAGTTGATCATTTGGAAATCTGCTGATCTTTTTAGCTGCTGTGGCTACAAGCTGTGCGAACACGGATGAGTTCACACAATATATATTTGGCCAAAGTTGGAGTGACCTTTTTTAAGTTTGTTTTGAAGAAGAATTTTGTTTTGTTACTTTCACTTACCTATATATGAAATATGTAGTAAGGGAAAGTATTGCGATCGTGAAAATTTTTGAATATAGGTTTTTAACGAAAATACATGTTTTGAGGTGCCCTGAGTCGAAATAACCAAGTCCCACAAAATGGTCTGTATGTGTGAACAGCCTAGCTGAAAAACGAAAAGTCGTACAAAACCTGAATTGCATTTAATCTTTATATATGGTTCCAATGTGACAGCAACTTTTTCGTTAAAATTGGCTTACCGGAAGTGCCACTTTATATCAGTGGTGATAAACATTTTTATGATTTTCTCGAAAATGACTAAATATTTTGATTAAACTAGATATATCAGTGTATTATTAAGTTGTTTTTAATATCAACTAGGTCTTATCCACACTGATGTCACTTTACTGGGCTTAAATGTCCAATGTTTATATACGTCTTCAGAGGAAGTGTCTATTAGAGAAAGTACCTTTAATTTGGTTTATTTTTAAACTATAACTTTTGAAAGAATTTGACAATTGAATAAAGGAGAAAAAAAAAGAATGCTTATTCAAATCAAAAAGGAATCTCTGGAAATAGTCGGAAGGTATACGTATAAAATATCGGAAAGCGAAGAATTTCAGAAAAAATAATATCTAATAAATAAAGTTATAGAAGGTAATGGAGACTGACAAAAAAATATAAATACTAATTTCTGAAAATTAATATTATTTAACGTAAATTACATGTTTCCAAGGAAATTAAATGGAATTTCGTTACTACATGTGAACGTTAAAATTTTTTTTAAGTATGAAAAAAGTATTTAAAATCATCTGAATCAACATTGTTTAAAATACTATTTCATTGTATTTGTGTGAAATAAAAAGTGGAATATAAAATGTTCATGGATATGTAACCTTAAATACATTTACTGTAGTTTAATAAATCTAGATATGATATATTTAAATAATTAGGTATCTATCGTCTGTTTACTCCAAAAAGTCATCATGTAAACTTTTAGGAAATTAAATTAGTGAATAATTAATAATAATAATTAGTGTGACAACTTTTGATTTATCTATGACGGGCAATGCAAATCTCGTAATTCCATTTTAGTAAACTTTGCAATGAAAAAAACAGCTTAATATTTAATAGTAGTACAATCCATAATCAACAGTCAATATAATAAATAGGATTTTTGTTATTTTAATGGTATTAATGATTTGTTAACTGTAAGCTTTAAGCTTTAGCTCAGTTAAAAATGCACTTAAAAATTTTTATAATAGCCCAACATTGCCAGAAAATAATTTTTATTCAAGTAGAGCGGTAAGTGAAAGTTGTGTGTTGTGCCCACCAGATTTTTTTTTCTTTCTTTGTTCTATTAAAGAATATATTAATTTTGATTTATGGTTACACTTCAAGAATGTTTATACTTTGTTTGGGATCCTTTAGATTATTTTTTTATCTTACTAATTAAACAATAAACCAACATCTTGTAGCCACAGAAGCTAGAATGACTGGCGAATTTCCAAACAATCAACTGTTTCATTCTGGCGCAACCAAAAGCAAACTATACCTCTTGTCACTATACTAACTTTTTTATCATTTTCAATTAACTATCATTACACATGATATTTTTTATAGGCAAGGAGATATAACTGATACATTTACACACCTGGTAAGTTATTGTGAATAACCTTATCTTTCTATTGGTGGAATAAGCAGATGGTGCAATCAAGGATAGAGCTTCTAAATAAGTCCTTTCACTAGCATTCAGAAAATCATGCAGTAAATCTTGAGAGTAACTTTCCAAGCCATTTGTCATTTGCCATTTGTTTCTGCCTAACTATTTTAGCAATATCTACTAGCGAGTAAAACTCTCCAATAGCGATAATCTCTTAAGTTGACATATGGCTTTATGATGATAACATTTTTCTAACTAATGGTAATCCTTCTTCCATCAACAATTATTTATCGAACTTTTTTAAAAGTTCTTTACTAACAACAATTGATACCTATTTCAGATACTTTCAAAATACCGGCTCCATCTCGTTGAACCTGTGGACATGGAGTTGCGGATGGTTCCAGTACCAACAAAACCGATAAAAATCAAAGTGGATAGGCTGTAATATTGGTAATGAAGAATGAGCATTGATTTTTATATCCTGATAAAATTAGGATAACATGTTATTGGCATATAATTACTGTCTTGAAGAATCATCTGCGATTTAGATCACCATAATCAACTTTAACATTGAATGTAAATTATTTAATGACTTTAGCATGAAAAGTGAATAATTTTTGATAGAATATTTTTGTTAGAAATTTTTATAAATATGTTAAACTATAAATATTTTAATAAATATCTATTTGCATGAGTTTGTTATATTTCGTCAAGTTTTAAATTCGAACTGCTCTTGAGACAAATACTTACCACAGTGAATATTGCTTCAATATTACTATGCATGTATCAAATTTGTTGCTATTTTCTTTTATATTATACTTCCCAGTCATTACTAAATTTTTTTGTAGAATCTTAGTTCTTAATGTCATTTTGTAGCTAAATTTTATTTTATAGAAATTTAATTTATTTTTTTAGAATCTAAAGTTATAATTTCAATTTTTTAACAATAATTCCATATGTTGGGTTTAACAGCTGTTATTTATGAAATAATTAAGTTTTTGTTTTTAATTTTTTCATTAAATCTGCAAATTTTCATTTATAAATTTGGTACTAGTTTCAAATCACTACTCCAAGTTGGTAGTTGGTAGCTGGCTTCAAGATCACTTTAAGTAAGCAAGATCACTTCTCAATAGTTTACAGTCGTCAAGTGGTAAAGAGAGAGAGAGAGAGAGAGAGGACTATTTCACTGGTACACCAACAAGACCCACCTTCGTGCATACTATTTCTTCAGTGTATTGTAAAGGGTTAAATTAGATTTTGGAAAATAATTTTTCTACTTAAGAACATTAATAGTTCTAATTTTTTATGTTTAAAAGGAACAATAAAACAGATGAAAATGTTATATAAATATATTACTTAACAGATATAAAGTATTTAACTATTTAAATTTAAATATTTAACTTAAATCACAATCACGGCTCAGAATATTATCATTATGGAAGGCACTTGATGATAACATGCATTACATTATATTACATTAACCGTTACCAATATCAACCACTAGTTCAATATTTTTATTTGCTTATTCTCTATTCACAGGAACTGATAGGTGCCTCTTTCCTTATTTAATTATTACATTTTTTATCTTGTAGAAAACATTTACAATAGTTCACTGGCGTTCAAACATAATTTACTTGAACATTACCATTTTTGAGATATTTTAAGTTAAATTCAATAGAGTAAACTACAGGTCAATACCTCACATATAAAATACCAAGTAACCGAAACTTAAAATCTTGACTTTATATTTTTCACTTAAAATCTAAACGGTTATTAATTTTAAGATTATTTACAAATTTTCTGCTATACTTTACTGATTTCTTTAGTGTCATTGTTAAAAATAATCTACCTATCAGCGTTTGATAACACATCACAAATTCAAGAGAAGGTATTATTATTAACAATAGAAAATTCTCTTAAAAAATATACATAAATAAAATATGTGTTAAGAAGACAAATTTCATTCCATGTTGTCAAGTCATTTGCTCTTCGCTGCTATTTTTGAAAGAGACTTGTTAATGTTTCTTTGAATATTATTGGGGACCACTTCTGATATTAGAGGAAAAAGTCTCGGGTCATCACTAAGTACTTGGAAAATCTCCTTTGCAAATCGCCTGCAAGCAACATAATAACATATTAATAGATAGTATGTCATATCAATGACACTATATTTTAGGAACATGTTCTATATCAATATTAGTTTTTATCCCAGAAAAAAGAAAATACTGATATGATCCTTGTATCTAAACAAAACAATCAAAGAAAAATTATTTTTGACACAAACTATGCTATTAAAAAAAATGTATTTCTATATTTTTAGCATATCTTAGTTTTTGATTATGTAGTTCCATTCTAGATTTTTTCATTAAATTCTTTTCTTAAAAAAAAAGTTATGTTTATTGTAGAATTTTTATTTTTATTTAAACCTTATATTTTACTGATAAAGCTTAAAAATACCTTAACATATAGTGTTTATAAAATTTTATAAGACATTTCATCAATGCAAAGTTTTAAAAAGAATAATTAATTTTTTTTTTCAATTTATCTGCTTAATATTAAATGTGTCTACTATTCATATCTCATTTACATACACAAATGCGTGAATTATGATAAATTGCTAAGAATTATATTAATAGGATTTTGATGATTAACCAAATTGACTACAATTGAGTGGTCTCATGTCAAAGACAGACATCTGCCATTTTCAGAAAGTGGAGAAAAAGTTGATTTTTGTTTTGTAGGTTCAACTCGAAACTATTTCCGATGATTTTATTTAAGAATTTTCTAGTTGAATCATGAAAAAATATCAATAGACTTGATTAAAAGTAAATTGAACCTATATTACTAAAATTGGCTTTTTCTTCCCTGTCTTGGATTGGAGGACACTCAATTTAAGTTGAGTATTTTTGGAAGCAATGTTACTTTGTGTATGATAATATAATGGAAGCTTGGTATTAATGAGTTCTACTGTATGTATTAACCAATATCAATGAAAATGTAAGATCCTCAGATGTGTAGAACAACATTGCAAATTTCATCAAAAATCAGCACAGAACTATAAAACGTACCTAGAACTCAATGGTATTAAGGTGTCAAAATATGATGTTACAAGCTAAGCTCTTCACAAGCTAATAAACTTAAGTATATAATTTAAGCAGAAGTTAGTTGGGAAGATAGATGAGAGAGAGGATGTTGATCAACAATCACACACATAATATTTGAGAGAAATGCTTATTGGATAGACTATGTTTCGATGTAAGTTTAACCGTACAACAGTGGGGGCAGGGTGAGATGGTAGTTCATATTTGGAACATAAAGATATTTCATGAACAAACCTTTCTTTATGCAGATGATTTTGTTCTGATAACTGACTTCAGAAAAACTACAATAGACCATAACAAAGTGGCAATGAGATTTCGCTTGTGAAGGAATATTTTTCAACCGTGAGATGAAAGGGATGTTGAAGTAAGCAATTGATTAGAAATGTTTTTGTTACAGAATATAAAAGACTTCCTCTTTCAATTATTTCCTAATTAAAACTCCACTTGGTGAAGTAGGTAATTTATTTTACTACTGTTGAGTAAACTTTTTTATTTTTAAATAATAAAAGTATGGGAATGGGAGAAATATACAAGTCTATGATAAAACCAGTTGTGTGCTGTGGAGCATAAACCTGGACATTGAAAGTCTCGGACCAATTAGCCGTAAGGGTCTTCGAGAGAGAAAAATATTAAGACAAATTTTCTACCCAGTATCCTCAGAGGGCACCTGGAGAATCAGAAAGAATATGGAACTTTATAATCTCTTAGGGCATGAGGATATAGTCAGATTTGTTAAATCAAGAAGACTAAGTTGACTTGTTCATATTGAAAGGTCGCCAGAAGGGCAGATGACAAAAAAGATAATGAAGGAGGATTTCCAAGGTAAAAGAAGTAGGCGACACCCCAAAACAAGCTGGCTGAAGGATGTTGAGCAGGACTTGGCTGTGTTTGGAATGCCTGCGTGAAGGAGGATGATGAATCGAGACGGCTGGAGACAGATTGTGAAGGAGGCCAAGGTTCATATGGGACTGTAGTCCCGATAAGTAAGGAAGTAAGTATGGGAATGGGAGGATGGTAATAAATAAAACTATGTTATTATTATTTAGGAATAGTGAATTCTTAATTAATTATAATATATGAAAGATGATTCCATATATAAATTAATTATTAAAGTTTGATTGGTAAAATGATTGTAACGTTTGGTCAATGAATACTTATTTAAATATTTTTCTAAAAATACAACAGAATTTTAATCTTCGGTCTGTTATGGAATATTATAAACCTAATACTTTTTAAATTATTTATTATTAAAATCTATTAAAAAAGAAATAGTTCACTCAAAATATAGATTTTATTTATTTATCGTTTTACTGATTTCATCAATCTTTTTGAACTTTTGCCACCTCAAAAGCTTTCTTTCTTGTGCTATTATTTGTTCCAAATTTTCTTGTATTTTCTGACTAGTCATATCCTTAGTAGCATAGAGACGAACTATTAGGCTGTTCTGGAGAAAAAACCCTTCTATCTTTCTTATGATTGAAAAGTTTCACTGATTTTTTCAATCAGTGGATTTTCTGCTCTCTATCATGCACTTCGGATCGATTTTATATGCTTATAAGAGAGCATTGTCAAGATATTCTATTTCTAAGAACTGTGCGGTTCAAAAACATGAGAGTCAAGTATTTTCCTGCCAGACACATCCCTTCTATTTTCTAGCACTGTTCCTATTTTTTCAAGTGATAAGCATTCATCAGATTAGGCTAGGACCGATCTTCCTTTATCAATCCTTTGCATTAGATTTTATTTACAAATATATTTCTGAAAAACTCCAACATAACTTTATTCTTTCTGAAACTGTTTTTTTAACCATGGAATCTTACACAATTTAAAAATTAAAGAAAATCATCCTAATATATATTCCTCATAGTTCCTTTCATTCACGCAATATTCAAAGATGAAAATCTGGCTTACATATTACTTTGGTTGTTGTTGTTTAGAAGTATATTAATAATTTCTTATAGAATTGAAGAAGAAGATGTTGTTCCTGTGGTTTCTACATTACAACTTGACATTTTATTCAGTATAGGATAAATAAAAACAAAATTCCAATACTTTGAGATCTTTTGTTCTTCCAATATTTCTTAAATTAATTCTATATATTTATATTTTTTTAACAACTCTATTGGTACGTCATCCATCTTTGAGGCATTTATTCTTTTAAATCAGCTGATAGTTACTTCTACAGATCGAATATCTTGACTTATCAACCAGTTGAGGTTCAAAGTTCTGCACTTGACCTTTTTCTTCATTGTTTGTTGATTTCTCTTGATTTTGGAATCTTCTTAATGCTCTTTTAGTTTCTTTGGTTGTAGCCAGTTTACCACCATTCTCCTTTGCATCTGTACGTTTCTTGCTTTCTAAACAACTCATTTTATTTTTACGTTTTCTTTTGTTTTTTGACCTAATGGAAGGAAAAACAATTAAAAATGGTGAACAATATTCAAATCAAGAGATGAAAATGTATTTGTAAAAGGAATATTTTAATAAGTCATCCAGAAGAAGAAATTGTGCTCACTCATCTTTTCATAATATTGATATTGATGAAATAAATTTTTTTTTTGGGGATGGGAGAATTAAACTTTTTGGAAGAAAAATAAATGAAACTATAATTGAATGCGCTATTAGGTAGACTAAATATTTGCTGTGCAATTATTGTGTAATAGAGATTCTCACGGGGCATGCGGGATTCTGAACAGAGCTAGTTCAGTTTGGTATGAACATCGGTTTGATATGCCCAAGTTGTGAGGGACCAGAGAACACTGAGCATATTTTACTAGCCTTAACTGCCGCCTATGGGTCACTCAGCTGTTAAGGGAGACAGGCCTCTTTATCCTTACTGAGAGATCTCCCTCAACTAATGACCACAGAAAATTACAAGTTCTTTAAGACCTTCATAAACTGGGGAAAGAAATAGTGAAATTACCAACCCACTTCTCTCTGGGAAAGAAGAGGAGGAGCTGTGCCAGGGAGAAGAAGGCAAAGCTGAAGAAGGAAGTGGGCTTATAGAGAGAAAAAAAATGTAAATTCCAAAAAACATTCCACTGCTGCAATTATCCATATCTTCTGAGACAGGTTGAAATAAATAAATATTGTGTACTAGATTTATATTTCTCATTAGAATATTAGCATTTAAAATGAAATCATTGACAGGTACCAGACCAATTTTGTTCCTTATTTTTGACCATTCCCGAACCGTACAAATAGAACTTAAAATGCTATAAATTACAAGTGTTTATTTATTTTTTTGCAATTTGAGCTACAGGCCAGGTTGTGAAGGATAAATAATAATACAATTGAGCAGTTTATTTTGAAAGTGGCCTAAGTCTATTTATTCTTAAATTGAGATATCTAACGGTTTACATTTTAATACAATTAAAAATATACATACAGGATACTAATGAGTCATACTGCTTAAGTATATCTAAAGGAGTTAAATTTATAGTTCCTATTAAAATAATGGAAATTATTAGATAAATAATATGCGTTTTCTTACCGAGAATAGAGTTAGGGCACTTTCAAAATTAACACCCAGATTCGTTATAAAATTTAAATTAAAAAAAATTAAGTCCATTCAACATAATTTAAGATTTTTCAAATTGAAAAATAAATTTATTTTATATATCTTTACAAAACTTCTAAAACATACTATAAAATATACTAAAATTTCTAAAATATACTGCTCATCTACATTTTCTGTGTGTGAAAGGGATTTGAAGAGATCATGATTTTCAGGTGGTTTATATCATAGTAGGTCCTTTATGGCCTTGAATTTTGCTGTTGTAATTTGTCTAATATTTTTATACAGTGGTGTCAATACAATATTTTCGAACTTTTTCGGTCTACCCCAATGTTATAATAAATCCAGGACTATTCCGTTTTTATAATTTAACTAACACTTTGAAACACCTAATTCTTGGTGAACCTTTTCTGTTTTTTGATGTCTTTGTTTCACAGTTTTGGGCTCGATAGTTTCGTAAAGCAATATATTTTGTTTATTAAAATCTCCCAAATACCGGACCTTCTCAAAAATATTCTTTCTTTCTTTTTCTTGCAAATTTTTATGCAAGCTTTTTTACAACAGCAATCTTTGTTTTTGAAAAGTTTTGAAGGTACAATATTTCTGATTCGAGTATAATATCTTTTTACAGAATTCCGTTTAATTTTTCGCACTAAACGGTCTTGTCATTTTGTTTTCCCATGGGTGAAATAATTTCTAAAATTTAATGTGAAATCTGTAGTTTTATATTTAACTGTAAGTATGTGTACTGCATAAATTGTTTTAACTGCAGGGTGAGTGAGTCAATTAATTAATATAGCGAATTTGCTCTGAGAGGTTCCATAGTTGCCAATAGTTGGGCAAGCAAATTAAAATAATTTACTTAAGAAAAATATTTTGTGTTATTCACCTTGTGTCTAAACTTCCTTCAGTAAGTAACTTAGCAGTTGTAATAACCAACATGTCTTTTGTTTCACGTGGAAGAGATAGAGTTCGCTCTGCTCCTAGTTTCTTAGCTAACCTTAATAGTAGGCGAGCAGTCGAGCAACGGACCAGTGCGTTTTGGTGTCTGCAAAACAACAAATTATAAATATATACAGACTATACTTATTTATATTGGTATTTTCTATTGAAAACCACATTCCAGATAAATATTTGCTCATACTTTGTTATCATCCTGTGTAGTTAGATTATAATATTTGTTTTGATAAAGGTGTATTTATAATTTTTTTATTATTGTGTGTGGAGAATAAACAGCTATAACAATAATAAAATTATATAACAATAAAATTATATGAAATAATTTAACAGTTCTGTAGAAATGGATTATTTTACACCTTAAGCCAGACTTACCCAACCAGGTGCCCGAAGGGCGTCATGTGTACTCCTACTAATTACCCATCCATATAAAATAATTATTTATTATATATATAATAATGATATTACATTGAGCAACTCGCTACAACACTGATAAGAGAGGCAGGGCAGATCGGCCTACAAATAAATGAAGACAAAACAAAATATATAATAATAAGCTGAAAAGTCCACCCCAATAACAGGATCTGCATAGAAGGAAAATCATTCCCGACAGGAGAAAAATTCGAATACTTCGGCTCCACAATAACCTCAATGAATGACCAACAAGCAGAAATAGACCAGCGTATAACTAGCGCAAACAGAACTTTCTTCTCCATCTCAAAGGTATTGAAATTCAGAAAAATCTCAAGAAATCTCAAACTAAGGGTGTACAATGCTATGATAAAGCCAGTTTTAATATATGGCTGAGACCTGGACACTAACCAGCACCCTAGAAAAAAAAGAAAATCTTCCATACGATAATAGGAGCGATCTGGGATCAAAGTACTAACACATGGAGAAGAAAGACCAATAAAGAACTGCTTACAGAAACTGATCAATCAATATCTCATGATATGAAGGCACTGAGGTTAAGATGGGCGTGGCATGTAGCTCGTAGCAATCCGTCTGGAAGCCTCTACGTAATAATGAATGCCTCAATAGAAGACAAAAGACCACGTGGAAGCCCAAAACGCAGATGGAAAGATAGAATGAACAAAGATGCAACAAAGCTGCATGCAGATAACAGGAAAGAAATAGCCCAAGGCAGGCAGAGATGGAGCAGGCTTGTTAAGGCGGCAAAAGAACTACATGGTCTGTAATGCATACCGAAAAAAAAAATTAGATCATAATCAATAAATTTTTATATGCTAAAATTATTCTTGGCTATTATTATTATTGATATTAAATAATGAATTTCAGAAAAACAAACAAAAAGGTACCTGCCATAAGAATATTAACCTTTAAATGTGCCCTTAAATAGAAAAAGATTAAGGACTCCAGCATTAACGGATAACATTATTGCTATGAAAAAAAGTTTTGTATTGTATGTGGGTTACAAGTAGTAGTTACACAAGGCCAGATAGTTACACATATGATAATGATTCTAGTAATTTAATAGCACTAACTTGGCTCCTTTGTTGATTAGTACTCCCACACTTCGCACAGGATTAGTATGATCAACCATCGATTCCAGAGCTGCCAAAGCATCACCTCTTAAGAACTTATTGGTATCTGCTGTCCTGCTTAAGAGTGTACCTGCTAAATCTTCTAATTCCTGCAAATGAAAGCAGTGATGAATAACAAGATGGAGCAAATATGATGAAATGGTTTGAAATGACTTACAGCATCCAAAAAACGTCCAACTTTATCGAATAGTTCTTTAGCAACTTGACAAGACCCTCTTGAAACTTGAGATCTGAGGTTACGTATGTTATGCACCAAGCTTTGGATGACTGAATGTGAAGAAGCAGTTACTAGTTTAGAGTGATGGCGACATAACCTCACTAGACCTTGTAGTCCCAGCATCACAACTTCCCTACAATAGAGTTAGAAGACATCAATGATATTTAATCTATTCTTTTTAAAATAAAAAAAATCCACTATTTATCATTATAAGTCGAAAAAAAAAATAGGTTTTTATAAATTTAATCTGAATATCTTAGAATGTTTTTTAATGTTATATAAAAAGAAAGAAACAATTATAATAATCATACCATTCAGGATTTTCCATCTGAAGAAGAGTTTTAAGAAGTCCATCTTTTGGGTTATCAAACGGGGGTAATGAAGATGGGAACAATGGTGGTCTTCCCCCAGTCTTTGTGCCATTTCTGCCACTTCTTCACATAATAACAATATAAATTAATAAATTTGCTGTATGAGTAAAGATTACAGTATTAGAAATGTTCTTTTTAATTTGAATATTGAATCAGTTTAGTCTACATCGGATCTGTTTGATCAATCAGTTTTGCTTATATTTAGAATTAAATGTAAATAATAAGAGTTATGATTTACTGTAAATTGTTAAGTAGTTTTAAATCTATTTCTAAAGTATTTGTTTTATTTTTTCCCTAATATTATAAAAAAACTGGTAGGATAATTTATAAGATATCTTCCTTGACTCTATCCATGTAAAGATTACTCTATGTTAAGTATAATTTTTTCTATATTTTGAAATTTTTATTACACATGTATTTTTCAAAATCAAATCATTGAGATATATTTAAAAAAAAATATTTTCCTGATCTCTACTTTTTTATCTTTTCAAATCTTCCCACCTTTTGGATTTCCTTGGCAAATAACCAATTTACCTCAGTTCTTTAATATATACGCTTTGCTTTAAGCAAGGAAACTATTTTATTAACTAAATACAAATTTTAAAATTTCTGGAGATCATTACAGATGCAGTCAGGAAAGAACACTGTAAAGTAATATATTTATCACTTTGATATGTGCTTATGTTTCAGCTGAAGCTTTTGACCACCATTAGAGCTAAGCTAAACAATATACAAGAATAAGAGAAAATAGTAGAATAAATATAATAGGCTTATGTAGAGGAATACATAACAATGAGAATAAGATCTGTACCTCTACAACCTCTGAAGGGTTTTCCTTGGGTTCAGAACTTTGTCAGGAATTACTGTTTCAAGGCCAACGGTTGTGCAGGAAGGTGATTAGACCGGGGTCACACTCAATCACCATATTTTCCTCCTTGATTAATAATTTAATTAAGGGTACTAACTTAATTGAGGTCGAGTCCCCTAGGAGGGACCTTAGGGTCAATCAGCAGCTGATAATACAGAATAAATAATTACCTACCATCAGTTGGATTCGAACCCAGGAGCTCTAGCTTCAAAAGCTAGTGCCTTACCTACTGAGCCACCCCACTCTCCACAAACAAAAGTATAGTAAAGAAATAGTAGGAATTCAATATTAAAATAGGTATATGTCATTGTTAAAACCTTAAATCTTTCAATATCTGAATTGCCTTTGTAAGAACTAGTTTTTACATAGACCTTTTGTTAATATTATTATTAACTGTTTACTACTGGAATTAGCTGATATGATGTAGGGAAAAGTAGAATTATGGAATGAATATGACGTTCTTAATTTTTAAATAAGTACTAATTACTACTTCATGTATGCTTTTCAAACCTTTGCTCCTCTTCAAATTTCCTATGTGCTGGAGCCAGAGATGGGCATAATTGAAATCACTGATTACATGATTAAAACTGAAAATAAAACTTAATGTCCATACCAATTTTATACATGATTCAATATACCAAAAATATGACACAATTACCTAATTACAATCGTAGTCAGCAACCAGATCACGGTAATCATGTATTCTTATCGTTTTATCGTGTAAGATTACTGTTATCATAATCATTGATTATAATTATGCCCTTCTAAGGCTGGTGCCTAAGATTGGGTACCCTTTTTATCCTAACACATAAATTCTAGTATTAACTAGTTTATACTACTATTAACAAGGGAGTTGTTATAAAATTAATTTCTAAACAAGAAATTTGGATTTTGACTGAGAATTTCAGGTTTTAATGGTTAGCTATACATGGAATAAGAAAAACTATAATAGGATTTATTAAAGTAAATTGAACACAATATAAAATAAATTTCTATTCTGATCATTTTTCCAACCAACTTTTCTCCTCGATTTCAATTACAGTGAACTATGTCTACATCAATATTAAAATTCTTCTTTTAATAACTATGCTAACAGTAAAGCATAATAACACGTATATATAATAATCTGATTGAACCTATAATTGTGTTGATTGCTTGTTAAATTGGTTATTAAACTGAAGAAATCATTTCAAACTAATGATTTTGGTAATATTTACATTCATAATTGAGGGCTCTACTAAAAAAAAAGTATACCTCCATTTTTATTGTTTTTCTATGCCCATTTTTGAAGAAAGTATAATATGATCAAAATAAAGATTTAATTTAAAAAAAGTTAATTTTCACTGCAAAACAAAGCTACAAAGAAGGCAGAACAGCATGTCAGAAAATTTATTATAAAAATGCCAAACCTTTTGTAGGGATTTTTGTATTAATTTTTTAGAATCATAGAGTTTATAGTCCTATTTTTTGTTAGTAGATACCTCAAATAACTATTCACTTACCATATTATTGTTTGTTTTTAATATGATCTTACTTTATAGATCCCAAGGGTTTTTTCTTCAACCTGGTAATTGGATTTACTTTGGCCACCGGTTTAGAAATTTTTACTGCCATGTTTTCATTTCTTTTATTTCCCTGTTCATATTTATATTCATTTTTTATCGCAAGTTTCTGTTCATCATGTTTATTTTTAGGTAACACAGCAGTGCCACATGAATTCAAAATATTATACCGCTGTTGCAAAGATTTTCTTTTAAATCTATAAGGATAATTGTAGGGGTTACTAGTGAATCGGTTTTTGAATTGACTTCTTTTGTCATAAGTTTTTATTTGAACCACTTTAACATTTAAGTGATTTGGGTTCTGTTTGTTATGGTCAATGACTGAATCCTCATGTCCTTGTTTTTCATCAGTTACAGTTCTTGTAAATTTGTCTTTCTCCAAAACATTTTGTTCTATCAACTGCGAGGAACGTATACTCTTTTTTTTAATTTCCATTTTTTTTTCGATCATCCTTCATTTTTATTTAGGAATTATTAAAGTCATATTCTTAATAGAATATATTAAAGTGAATTGTGTTTGTAGCATTGATTTTGTTTTTAATGTAAAATAAACAAAATCTGAAATAATATAAAAATAAAATAAATAAATAAAATGATACGGATGGGGAATAAACTTAATAAATATAAATAAATAATAAATCAACTTAATTCATATAAACAAATAATAAGTAAAATTAATACATATAGATTCTAAAGTAAAAATAGTGTATTACAGTGTATTGTGTATTACAATGTACTATTACAGTTTATGTAATTTCTTTTTTATTTTGAGGTCATGATGGCCGAGCAAATCAGAAAGTGTTGCCCGCTTTAACATTCTATAGCCTAGCAATGCTGGTTCGAATCTTATCTGGGCGGGTTAAAATTTATCTTGTGCTGGCCCCATTGAATAAATCTCTACCTTTCCACTCTTGTTAGAATAGGTTTGTTGTTAGATTAGAATAGACTGTACCTCTTAGAATAAAGTTTATACAATATTCATCTACTTATATAACAAAGTTCTGTGGATTTAGACTGATTCCCAACTTGGAAATGATTCCATACTAAGATTTTAATTTGATAGAAATGACACTGAAAACATATAGATAAGCTGTAAGGGAAATACCATAGAGTTCATACTATATAGATATACATAATTTATATATATATTGTAATGTAAATATTACATATTACATTAAAATATATATACATTACAATACATATACATTACAATATTACATAGTGATGTCACAAACTACTGTCAAGGAATGGACAAAGAGGAGAAGGAAGACAGATGGAAGGGGGAGCAAGTGCCATGTGTTGAATACAGAAAGTAACCAGCCGGCAAGGAAAGAGCATCGAGACCAACAGAGAGTGACCGGTCGGCAAGTAGTGAGTGTCTAGACGAGGATAGGAACATAGCAGATAAAGAGAAGACATTTGTGGAAGTTGTCCAAGTTCCAAGAAGACATCTTGGAAGGATTCACTGCGGATCAGGATGAGTGCAATATAAACAATGACAGTTAGTTCCAAGCTCCAAGAGTAGACACCGACAAAACTAAATGAAAATTCATAAATATTTCATACAAAATTAATGTATGCTTTTAGATTATGTAATTGAGGAATGTGTGTTTATTTGTCTCAACCCAACCTGAGAAATAATTTGTAGTCTTAATAATTTGAATTAATTGTGTGAAATAAATATGATTTGGTTAAGAAACTGTTTGTTTACTTTTCAATGAAACATAACCTTACAATATATTTATATTATATTAATTTATAGATATATTCTATCAAATGCAGGCTGATTATTTTAGAGTAGATACAGTGTTGCACAGAAAGAACCAATATGTATTTTAAGTACATTTTTTTAATATACTGATTGCCCACCTAGGAGATAACTTGTAGTTAGTACATCAGCTACTGGTTATCTATTAGTTTGTTTAGATTCCATATTTTTGCAGCAATGATGAAATTCATAGAAATCTATAATGATTACTTTGCATTAACAGTACATACATAATCACGAAAAGCATTAAGGACAGTCAACCCATTTATTAATGATTATTCCACTGTTATGGCATAATTCTACTTTTAGTTTGATATCCTTGAATTTTAGTTATTTTGTATTAGTGGCTCCATATGTAAGTTACATAAGAAGCTAAACCATAATAGTAGGAAACAATTAAAAAATTGCATGTAACACAGATTGGTCCTTTCTGAATAATACTGTTGATATATGCAAAGGAAAAATTGGAAGAAATGGTAAAATAGACCCAGAGATATCAAATAGAATCGAAGGATGAATAATAAACATTAAAGATGGGAGAGAAAAGAGCCATGCAATTGCTGTGAAGTCAATTCTGAAGACCTGCAACGGCTGGCATAAATAGGTCGAGGCAGTATGAGTGGCCCTTCTCACTGAAGGCATTTTGGTGGTAGAAAAAGAAGTTTCCTATTTTTATCAAATATGTTATCTTGTTACATTTAGAGAACGATAATTGGATTAAAGTTTAAAGTTAATGCCATTTTCAAAGAAATTTATCACAATATAAAAAAAATTATTTATTATTTTAAAATTAGCACTAACATCTGTAGCACCTGTGCATAGTGAGTTAAGTGTAAAAATGATATTTATGGAAAAAGGCAATTGAATGATTGGTATTTTAACAGGCATACGTTAAATTTTTTGAGATTCAATCATGATTCTTTAAGGAATGTTCATCTCTTTATTAGCTGCATAATTTAGCCCATTAGACACACAAAAAAAAAAAAAAAAAAAAAAAAAATAGAGAAAATTACCTTTCTAGTGATGAATCTAAAAATTCACAAAATTGCTCTTAACATACTATTCACAGGTGCAACAGATATATAAAACAACAATTAGACTAGTGAGGTTCATCGATGGGGGTGAAAAACTAGCGATAAAAGAGCATCCTTTCATTTTTTTTGCACTTATAAATATATAAATATATAGTATTTATGATGTATTCATATCATATCAATAAATCTACAGAAGTAGATTTATATGTATCACAGAATCTACAGAAGTACTGAATATGTATCAAGCAGAATCACTAGCGGACCCAGGATTTAATTTTGGGGGGGAGGGGAGGGCTTCATCCTGAAAGCATTTTTTCATAAAAATAACGATGATTACTTTGGAAAAAAAGAAAGAAATTAACTACCTATATGAAATGGTGTTTAAGTGATTCCTAAAGTCCTTTTAAATGTAATTACATGAACAATAATACTTTAAGAGATAATTTAGATAATTAAGTGGTAAAAGAAACTGGAAAATATATTTTTTGCATCTTGATATGAAATTAATTAAACTTCAATACACAAACATCTTATAAATTTATTCAATGGTGGGGAAAAAATAATGTATTATATAGCATTGTGGATTATCTATGAAAATTACTACTTTATCTACGAAAAAATTCATAACTACAGTTTTAAAATACTTTGTATTATTATTAAAGTTATTAAATAAAAAAATTAGAAAATTAGTCTACCTTTTGGGACATAAACAACATCAACCTCACAAACATCTCAAGTTGTGAAACGTTTAATTATCTTTCTAACATCCTAGTCAATTGATTTTGTAGGCAGAATTTTATGAAAACAAAAATATCCAGTGATAATGAAATAGTAGGTAGTGTAGCATTATTATCAAGAAATTCAATTGTTATGGTTATTTTAAAGACACATGTTCTTTTAATTTTCTAATTATTTATAAATTAAACTAAATTTTATATATATATGTTTGCAGTATCTATATTTTGGTGCTTTAATGTTTTGAAATAAAGATAAGATGGTTGTAATGAATACATTATTTTAAAAAAAAATATACATAAATCTCATAAATAAATGAAAGTGTGAATAAGGAAGATGCTATTTAGTTCCATTTTTAAAAAAATGAATTTTTAGATATTTATATTTTAATAATTGTTTTATTAATCATAGGTGGTTGTTTCAAACAACTGCACAACGTCTTGACTATATAGTTCTCTTGAGCAATAGTATGGTCAGGCTGTGATTCAGTAAAGTAATATCAACGTAAGCATTATATAAAATCAGCTGTTACTGTGAGAATACTTGCATTCTATGTAGTATTCATATCTAACAGAACTTTAGACATGTGATCGAATGTATAAGCCTCTCTACTATCTGCTGTCATTCATAGAAATCTAAACATCTGATAAATGATATTTGATGAGTATTCTATTACAGTTAGAGTAGGCTTTTACGGCAGGTACTACTTTATCATTGTCCAACAGACAGATTGTTATAATACTCAATAAAGAAAAAAAAAAAATCTTTATCATAAATTTAAGGATTTTAAAACGAGTTCAGTACATTCCTAGCCCTTCTGAAAATCCAACTTATCCATCTCCATACAACTATCAGAATTTCGAAACTACCTACATTTTTTAGAAACTTTTATTAACATTGAAGTAATAATTTAAGAATTGAAACAGGGATTCCCTTTCTTCAGAAACCTTGTTTGTCAAAATGGGTTACTTCTGAGATCTGAAAAAGGGATCTCTACTACAGAATTAATATATGTAAATATGCAATATATAATAAATAATATATGTTTTGAAGTTCTAAGACTGCCAACTTAATGTTTGTTAGCTTTCAATACTAGAACTTTATGATCCGAATTTTGATCAAATGGTCGTAGTCATTTTCATTATTTTCATAATAAATTACAATGATAATATTATTATAAATCATAGTGAAATAAAACAAAATCTTACTCTATACATCTTGGAATTCTTCTCTTTGGCTTCTCTTCCGAGATACTATCGACTGTGTTACCGCTAGTTTCAGTTGTTTTACTACATTCAGAGCCTACTTCACTGTTTGGTGTTCCCAGCGATTTAGGATCCTGTTAGAGATTTATGTTAAATAAAGAATTTGGTATTGATTCAGTAACACAGATGGACTTCATAACAAAAATAATCTCACCTCATTTTGAATTTCTACTGGGTTTTCATTTTCATCTATTTGAAGGGGAAGAGGAGAAGTAGCAGAAGACAATCTTAATTTTGAATCTTGGATATTGTCTGTTTCATCATCGACATGCTCTTGTTCTTGATTGTCAAATTCATCAATCGTTTCTAGAAAAAAATTAATATTTGCTATCTCTTACTTTTGTCATTATTATTTATCATAAATTACATACAAAAAATAAAAAAATATTTTCTATTTTTAATGCCTCTTGACTCTTTTGACTTCTGCCATTAATCTACTCCCAGCATTGGGGCTGTTATAGGTGATAAGCTGTGATCATTTGGATCTCTTATTAAGATATCCAGGGAGCATGTGGTTTATAATAACTGGACACAATCACAAATCACTCCATCTTCATCAGTATGGTTGGCAACCTTTTGCAGAGATCTCTATCCTACTGTTTTTTTAAGGGATAGGGGTCCAATCTGGAGGACCAAGGAGCTATGTTGTTAGACATAGGAGTCACTCACCTTCCTGTGAATTATAGGGTGGGGATATTACCGTTCCCATGTGGGAATCGAACCGGTAGTGGTCTAAGCAATCGAGTAGGGATGGCACTTATTAATTTTTATTTATTATTAATTATTTATATTTTTTTATCTTTTTTTTTTAAATCCGTTAACAGGATTTGAACTCATAGCATAAAATTTTTGCAGGCATCTAAATGTAGCTCCCTAGATATTCCTGTTACAATCATTTTAAGTTTTGTATATATATATATATATATATATATATATATATATATATATATATATATATATATATATATTTAAAAAAAGCCTGTACAACTACAACCCATCAAGGGTCTTGGGTTTAGTCGAAAATTTCTTGGTCAAAGTTGTGCAAAAAAGGTGATTTGACCAAGATCACATTCAACTGCCAGGTTTGCCCCATTTTCAATTATTTAATTAAGGCTGTGCTCCAGGAAGATCTCCTGACACCTATGTTGATTCATGACCAGTGAACTAGAATAAATAATTCATCTGCCATCAGCTGGATTTGAACCTAGGACCTTGAGCATTGGAAATCAGCGCCCTACCACTGAGCTACCCCACTTTCCCATAAAAAATAAGAATTATAAATTTTCAGTACTAGTTGAGTTTGATTGTTACATATGCATAAAAAAGTCTCTAATTTATTCAAACTAAATTACTGTAATTACATTACTTTTTAAAAATCATTGAAAGTCTCTACTATTAATAAATATTTGATTCAAGATCTAGCATTCAACCTACCTTTCTTATCAATAATTGATTGGCTGTCGATGCTGGCTAAACTTGAAGTAGCTGAGCTTGGTGAGCTCACATTACCATGGGCCTGTTCCGCAAGTGAATGGTTGTCTTCTTCTTCTTCTTCCTTCTTTGCTAAAGATGGAGTTGAGCGTGCTAGCTCTTCCACTTCATGTTGTGGGCTGACTTCATTATTACTAATCAAACTGCTCTCTGATCTCGATACGACAGAACTTCGAACAAGTCCATTTTCTAAGCGAGGACTGCTATGATTCCTAATCATTAGAGAAATATGGAATTAGAAAGGCTGAAGTGGATTCATATCTAAATTAGTGAATGTATAAAGGCCCAGTATTCTATAGAAGGTTATATTATTATTAAATTTTTTTTTTTTTTTTTTATCCTTCCCTTCCTCGCCGTTAAGGCTATACGGGATTTTCCCGGGCCAGGGAGTGTGGGCGGGGGTTTAAAAGACTCCCTCGGCACAGGGACGCGAACTCGTGACTATTTTTATATCTTTAATTCATATGTCAGGTTGCCAGGCAAAAGCGGTGCAGTGCACACGCTTTAGCCCATTCGGCTACCCCGCCCACATATTATTATTAAATGCCTTGGACAAATTTATTATTATCATTCAAATATAATTATTCTTTTACCATTTTTTAAATTAACATAAATTTAATAATAATAATCCTGTTGATATATTGATAACTCTACAATGAACTTGATTGACAAGAGCTGGAGAAAAAAAGTCGAAACATGAATGGATCTGTTCACTGTTTCTATTGATTTTTTTTTCTTTTTCTTTTTTCTTAAGTTTGCTGGATGTAATGTTTAGTTCAAATTTTAAATAGAAGTTAATAAAATTGTGATATTACATTGTAATAATTGTATTGTCTATTTATTGAAAAATGTCATTACATGACATTTCATAAACTTAAAATATTAAGAATTCCAATGAATTTTTCTTTGCAAAATGCTAAATTGTGCACTTTAACTATATTTCACATATTGAATAGAATAGAAAATTTAACTTTATTCTGGGACTAAGTCCCCTTAGAATAACAATGATGAATTAATACAAAAGAAAATACAAATCTGGCCGAAAATTAACTTATAAAAATTCTAACTTTATATACATTATTTAAAAATAGTATTTAATCACTAAAAAATAAACAGAAAAAAACACAAAAAAATTAAATGAACATAAGATCTTCTCAAAATTGCTTATTATTGTGATGAAAAAAAAAAAAATAATATAGTAATATAGAATGGTCTAAGGAATGAAATGCTTTGGAGAAGTCCAGGAGTACTAATACAGTCAGTTTTCTTTAGTCAATTGCAGTATGTATGTCATTTGTGATTTTAACTAAAGCGGATTGAGTGGAGAAGCCCGGGCGAAAGCCAGATTGGAGAGGATCTAGAAGTTTGAACTCTCCGAGAAAATTGGAAATTTGGGATTGGACTGTTCTTTCGAGGGGTTTTGACAAATTAGAGATGATGGAAATTGGACGATAGTCTTTAGGAGAAGTGGGGTTTGGGATTTTGTTAATAGGAACGGACTAAGGCTTTTTTTCAAGAGGTAGGAAAAACATAATCTTGAATGGAAAAGTTATAAATGAATAGAAGAACTGGAAGGATTTCAGAGAGGCATAATTTTAACAGTTTGACGGGTATTCCATCAATTCCTATAGAGTTGGATTGGGATTTCATTATGGAGGAAAATATAAGGGTTTGCATTGTTTTTATGCACTTATTGTGTTTTTTAATGGAGAAATAAAGTCAAAATTCACAAAAAAATTCAGTCTCATCAGAAACTTAGTACCTTATTGCAATAAACCAACAATATGTTCATTTATTCTGGAAGATTGTCTGCCTTAGTCTTTAAATTGAGTCTAGAAGTGTCCATAAAAATTAAATATTTATGATATCTTGTTGATCTAGCATTGATACCTACCATGGGAATGTATCTATACACTTCAATTAAGACATGTAGTGAATTTTAAAATTAATCCATTGAATTAATTAAATTTATCATCAGAATATAAAGGATAATGCAATAAATAAATTTGTTTGTCCACTTTTGCAAACTATTAGGTTCATAATTTTAAATGAAAGTTCTATGATTACTATTCCAAATTTTATATAAAAAATTTAGTTTTATAATTTTGATACTGCCATTTCATTCCAAATAAACTCAAATTTGTTTCAGTACTCTGGTGAGAAAAATAATGCATTGCCTTCATTTAAAATTATAATACAAAATAAAACTGTTTTCTGTACCTTTTTCAAAATTACCTTGAATTGACTCCCAGAAAAATAGTACTTAAATGAATAATTGCCCTAGTATTATTTCTATTAAATGCAATTAACGAATATTAATACTTTTTAGAGATAATTTTTTTCGTAAGACATGGATGTATTTCACC